GTAATTGTGTGCGAAGTCCCTTTTTGACAAACGTATCCAATGCAAGTTATGCCTCTGCTCAAAAATATTAATAATGAGTAATATTTGCCTCGCCCATTTCAACTTTTTGTAATAGATTGAATCATATTTAAAATGTCTAGCAGATAGCCAAATTTCAACCTTTTACATCATATAGGACAAAAGATATACCCATACCTATCTCAATGAAGCGAAAATATTGTAAAAAAACTTAAATTTAAAAAAATTTCGTATTTCAATTTTGCATTAAAAAACTTTTGTTTTAAGCTTATATCACTGGAAAGAGCACATTGAGAATCCGAAAAAAAACAACCCTCTAGGTTGATTAGGTCACAATCTAGAGCAGCCCAAAGTTGCGAATTTGACTTTTTTTGGACCGCTATAAAACCGGAAGTAGATGCCAGAGGTCAAATATCAAAATATCAATTGATAGCCACGGTCAATGACCTTTGACCCAATAAAGGTCAAGGTCATCACGGTCAAGGTGACGAAATATGGGCCCTCAAAGTTGGAAAAAATTCATCCGGAAATTGCAAAAAAGCGAAAATGAAATTCAAAAATCGGGCTCCAGAGATCTTAAAAATTTTTTTTAATTTCATTTGACACAAAAATCATTCAAATCGAATAAGCTGTAATGTCTGAAGAAAAATCAATGCATTTCAGGAAAATCAAAATGCCGGCCAGAGTATCACTTCCGGGGCAGATTTTTTTTTTTCTTCATTTTTTTGTCAGAAATTTGGCTACTGACCTGCAAAATTTCTTTGATATTTATTAAATATGATAAACTTAAAATGAAATGGGGGCGTATATCCATCCTTTGGTCTGTCTGTCTGTCCGTAGATCATCCACAATTGCATCGTAAACACTCCAGAAGGCACAATTCTTGACAGATTTTGACAAAACTTGGTGTGAGTGTTTGTAATCACCTAAGGATAAACCCTATTGAAAATAAAAAAAAATCTTAAAAACAAGTTCCATTTTTATCTCGCAAACATTATAGAAGGCATAATTCTTGAAAGATTTTGGAGAAATTGGGTGAAATTGTTTATTATCACAAATGGATGAACCAATGCATATTATTCATTATTACCCTAAAAAATTCAAAATAAATGTTGAATATTATATACTTCTGATTCTGTACTGCCAAATATTTTTCACTCTAAAAGGCATGATTCTTGACAGATTTTGACGAAATTCAGGGAAATTTTTTATTATCAATCGTGGATGAACCCTATTGCAAATAACAAAATGTTTTATGGAAGTTATTGACCTTGTTCTTGAAAACACTTTTAATTTTTTAGCTCGTAAACGCTAAAAGGCATGATTCTTTCCGGATTTTGACATGCTATGTTTATCAAAAGATAAAACCTTTATTTTTAAAATCTGTAAAATAAAAAAATATATGAATTTGAGTTTAGCTCTGCAAGCCACAATTTTCATATCTGATCACGATTTCTTGCAAAACATGACTTCTCTATAAGGCAACTCTGATAAGATATGGCAGTTGTTTGGAAAGTATTTCATTCAAGAGGTTATTGACATGTTAGAAAGTTAAACCATTTATAATGATTGTAGGCATTAAAAACTTGTGGTATTAAAGTCAGTGATGCTATAGTACTATTAGATAGAGAACAAGGTGCTGTAGATGTTTTAAAACAACATGGTATAACATTACACAGGTAATCACTTTCCAAATTCAAATCATTTTTAGGGGGCGTATATTGCCGTCACCCATGTACGTCCGGCCATCCATCCATCGATCTGTCCACAATTGCTCCTAAACACTCTACAAGACACAATTCTTGACGGATTTTGACGAAACGTGGTGTGAGTGTTCGTAATCACCCAAAGGATGAACCCTATTGAGACTCTGGAAAATCGAAAAATATTTAGTATGAGTTATTGCCTTTGTTCTTGAAAACACGTTCAATTTTTAGCTTGTAGCTCTAGAAGGCATAATTCATGATGGATTTTGACGAAACTTGGTGTGAGTGTTCGTAAAATCTTGAATATTTGAATATCTAAGCCGTGGTGGGCGTATATGGCTGTGGTTCACTATCTTTATATTATCTTGTACCGGTAACATAAATGATTATTATTCATTTCAGTGTAATGGGTCTGAATCAGGTTATGGAAATTCTAGAAAGATCAAAGAAGATAGATTGTGAAATGGTAGAAAAAGTCAGATCTTTTCTTCAAGTTAATAGATTCACTCCCTCAACAAATACACAACCTTGTCAACCAAATCAAATCAAGGTATTACAATATCATTGACCTATATTGTCATAGGCCCTTTCAATCTTCAGTCATCTTTGTGAGGTTCTGTAGCACAGTTGTTTAGTTAATAAGTCATCTTGAATCATAATTCCAGTCAACCCAGCTGTAAATAGGTATGGATAATCCAGGAAAGATCAATACCAAGGCCAAGGACCAGCTGGTAGAAAGGATCCTTAACTGTTAATCTAACTTCTTATCCTTGTAAAATATAGTTGTTTGTTTCTTTCTTTCTTCACAACTTCAAGCTATTATGAACTTTGTTTTATACCTTGACTGCAATAGCCTCCTTTCTTGTATCTCAGAATGTAGCGATTGGATTGGATTTCATGCTAGCAAATACAGCCAATTAGAGTTTTCTACAGAAGACTATAAACATTATGGCTTATTGTTTCTGTTTCTGCCTCATATTGGCAGGATTCACTAACTTACGATCCAATATATTTGATGCATGTACAAACTTCTGTAATACAAGAAAGGTAGCTATTGCAGATTAAATATAAGTATGAAGTTCGTAATAACTTGACATTGTGAAGATGATCTTCAATTGGCATATGAAAGAAACAAAAGTTGTCCATTCAGTATTGGATCACTTCACTGTTTACCATATGAAAATTTGTTTATGTAGGTGAACGAGGCGAGAGCTTTGAATTAAATTTGATAAGGATTTTGCCATGAATTTTGCTTCTGTGTAGGTGCTTGTTGTTTTTGTATAATATCTTCTCTTTTCTTACAGAAATTATCATTTACTGAGCGTGGTAAATTATGTACAAATCAGATGACTAAGAAACTATTTGGTATAATGGAAGAAAAAAAATCAAATTTAGTTGTTTCAGCTGATTTTACACAATCCCAACAAATATTAGAGGTGAGCTTTACTGACTTTTTCTCTTCATATTGAACTAAAGTTTAAGTTCTAAATTGAATATAGAATGAGATCCTTTAGTTTTAGAGCTATTTTTATACGCCCACATGAAATGGGGGGCGTATATTGCCATCACCCATATCCGTTCGTCCCGTCCACAATTGCTCGTAAACACTCTACAAGACACAATTCAGGATTTTGACAAAACTTGGTATGAGTGTTCGTAATCCCCCAAGGATAAACCCTATTGAAAATCAGAAGAATCGAAAAATATTTAGTATAAGTTATTGCCCTTGTTCTTGAAAATGCGTTCAATATTTAGCTCGTAAACACTCTACAAGACACAATTCTTGACGGATTTTGACAAAACTTGGTGTGAGTGTTCGTAATCACCCAAAGATGAACCCTATCGAAAATCAGAAGAATCGAAAATTTTTAGTTAGTTATTGCCCTTGTTCTTGAAAACACGTTCAATTTTTAGCTCGTAAACACTCTAGAAGGCATAATTCATGATGGATTTTGACGAAACTTGGTGTGAGTGTTCGTAATCACCAAAAAAAAATTTAGTATGAGTTATTGCCCTTGTTCTTGAATGCACGTTCAATTTTTAGCTTGTAAACACTCTAGAAGGCACAATTCTTGACGGATTTTGACGAAACTTGGATTGAGTGTTTGTTATCACCCATGGATGAACCCTATTGAAAATCAAAAAAATCTAAATATGTTTCATAGGAGTAATTGACCTCGTTCTTGAAAACGCTTTCAAATTTTAGCTCTTAAATTCTAAAAGGCATGATTTTTGCCGGATTTTGACAAAACTTGGTTTTATTATTCAGTACCATGCTGAAGATTGAATATTTGCCTTCTAGAGTGTTCACGAGCTAAAAATTGAACATATTTTCAAGAACAAGGGCAATAACTCATACTCAATATATTATTCAGTATCGCCCTCAAGAATTCAAAAGAAGTGTATGACTAAAGGTTGAATATTTCATACTGGTAATTGTTACTGTACTGCTAAATATTTTTATTCAAAATCAAAGCTGCCAGTGGGCGTATATAACCTTGCCTGGCAAGCTATCTTAAAATACTATTCTAAATTGATTAAATATGAGCTAAATTGATGGTAAAGAAATTAATTATTATGTTTGAAAATAAAAAAATGAAATGTGTGCAGTTTTACTTTTACGTCCTAATTTTCTGCACCCGTGGGCTAATGAAGACTGGCAACGCCATGCAGGGTGCAATGAGGGAAATTTTGCCAGGACAGCCGCTGTGAGTAAGTGAGCAAGCGTTAAACTCACTGAGCCACTGAGCCTCCTAGAAAACAGTTTGAGAAAATGGTGTGAGAAAACTTTAGAGAATGTTACTTATGATAATGTATGGAGTTTAATGTGACTTACGGAGAAAAAAAATATATAACAAAGCAGAAGAAAATCAGATATTTCCTATAGTTTTTGAAAATTTTTCAAATTTTCCTCATTTAAACAACTATTGATGTTGTCTGATTTTGTATTTGTATAGCTAGTAGATAAAGTTGGACCACATGTGTGTATGGTAAAAACACATATTGATATAGTTGAAGATTTCTCTCAAGATTTTATTACCAAACTACTTCAGATGGCTCAGAAACACAAATTTCTTCTGTTTGAAGATAGGTATGTACCTAAAATTTAGAATTGAACAGCTAAACTTCATCTTCACAACATCAAGATATTACTTAAATTACTTCATTAGGCTCTGTATCACAGAAGTTTGTACGTGCAGCAATTGTATTTTATTGTATGCTAGCGAACACAGCAAATCTGTAAACTATAAGCCATAATGTTTACAGTCTTTATGTTGAGGGCTCTGATTGGCTGTATTCACTAGCTTACAATCCAATCAAATCGCTGTTTTCTGGGTTACCAAAAGAGCCTAAAGAAGAAAAGAAAGAAACAAACAACTATATTTTAGAAGGATAACAACTTAGGTTCACAATTAAGGATCCTTTCTACCAGCTGGTCCCTGGCCAAACCTCACTGCATAGATCCTTCCAGGATTATCTTTACCCATTTACAGCTTGTTGGACTTGAATTATGAGTCAATGGATTAGATGCAGTAATAACTTGATGTTGTTTAATTCAATGAATCTTTAAACATAAGTAATTAGAGATTAGGGTGGTTGAAAAGAAACCAGTTATTATTGACAAGCAACTAGTCACTACAGAAGGCACTGGCACAGGGTTAAAGATTAGGGTGGTTTAAAAGAAACCAGTTACTGTTGACAAGCAACTAGTCACTATTCAACAGAAGGCACTGGCATATTGTTACAGATTAGGGTGGTTTAAAAGAAACCTGTTACTGTTGACAAGCAACTAGTCACTATTCAACAGAAGGCACTAGCACCGGGTTATTAGTGAAAAGGCTTAAACTTTTAAGTGTTTTCAAAAATTACTTGTAGTTTACTGAAGAATAACTTATGGTGATATGGATATTGATGGTGATAATTTCTACTGTGTGGTTTTTGATAGGCATTATTATTACAATATATCATCAAAATTGTTTTGTAATTATGTATTTGTAGAAAGTATGCTGATATAGGTAATACTGTTAAGTTACAGTATAATAATGGTATATATCATGTAAGTAGTTGGGCTGATATAATCAATGCTCATTGTATATCTGGTCTTGGTGTTCTTGCAGCATTAAAACAGGTAACTCACATTTCTTGACAATCAGTTTTTATACGCCCACATGAATATGTGGTCGTATATTGTCGTCGCCCCTTCCCGTCGGTCCATTGGTCTGTCGGTCCATCAGTCCGTCGGTCCGTCCGTCAACATTTCTTGTGAGCACTATAGAGACTACAGTTTTTATCTGAAATTGATAAAACTTGGTGTGATGCTTTAGATTGATAAGATCTCGGTCAAGTTCGAATTTGACATATTTTCGATGAACGGTTTTTGAGATATTGCCCTTGACTTAGAACGCCTTGAAATTTGTTAAAAATTGTTCTTGAGCAGGATTGAAGCTACAGTTTTCAACCAATTCTGATGAAACTTGGTGTGATCATTGGAATTGATAAGATCTCGGACAAGTTCTAATTTGACGCATTTTCAATGAACGGTTTTTGAGTTATTGCCCTTGACTTTGTAAAAACGCGTAGAAATTTGTTAAAAATAGTTCGTGAGCAGAATTGAAGCTACAGTTTTCAACCGATTCTGATGAAACTTGGTGTGATCATTGGAATTGATAAGATCTCAGACAAATTCTAACTTGACGCATTTTCGATGAATGGTTTTTGAGTTATTGCCCTTGCCTTTGTTAAAATGTGTCGAAATTTGCTAAAAATAGTTTGTGAGCAGGATTGACTCTACAGTTTTCAACCGATTCTGATGAAACTTGGTGTGATCATTGGAATTGATAAGATCTCGGACAAGTTCTAACTTGACGCATTTTCGATGAAATGTTTTTGAGTTAATGCCATTAACTTACGAAAAACGCATTAAAATTTGTTAAAAATAGTTCGTGAGCACAATAGAAGCTACAGTTTTCAACCGATTCTGATGAAACTTGGTGTGATCATTGTAATTGATAAGATCTCAGACAAGTTCTAACTTGACGCATTTTCGATAAATGATTTTTTAGTTATTGCCCTTGACTTTGTTAAAATGTGTCGAAATTTGCTAAAAATAGTTTGTGAGCAGGATTGAAGCTACAGTTTTCAACCGATTCTGATGAAACTAGGTGTGATCATTGGAATTAATAAGATCTCGGACAAGTTCTAACAAGAGATATTTTTGATGAAATTTTTTTGAGTTATTGCCCTTGACTTTGTAAACACGTGTCAAAAGTTGTTCTTTGCCCTTGATTAGAGCTGTGTGATTTAATTGTTTGTTGTATTTGGGTTATTGATATTGATTTTAAAAAATTTTGTGGAATTATTCAACATGAATAATTTCTTCAATATGAGAAAATTGGTACTTTAGTCACTAAAGACTGTTTTATTATTTTTTGAGTTATTGCCCTTGACTTTGTAAACACGTGTCAAAAGTTGATTTTTGCCCTTGATTAGAGCTGTGTGATTTAATTGTTTGTTGTATTTGGGTTATTGATATTGATTTAAAAAAAATTTGTGGAATTATTCAGCATAAATAATTTCTTCAATATGAGAAAATTCGTACTTTAGTCACTAAAGACTGTTTTATTTTTTCTGACAGCTGCCAGTGGGCGTATGTTACCTTGCAACGTAAGCTATCTTGTACATGTATATTCATATTTGAACATGAATTTTGATATGCTTCATTTGTAATATTTTTGCAAAAATGCTCTAAAAGGGTCAAAATGTTATTGATGATATTATTTATATTGGACTAACATGATTTTTGAAGAGTTTTAATGCTCATATTTTTACTCTATGTAGACTAATATTGTGTGCAGTAAAATTGTAAAATGAATAATTTTCACATTTTTATGAAATTAGGTATTTGTATTTAGTTGTTTTGTCTTATTCCACTTTCTGTCTTCGTTAGCCCATTAGGTGCAGAAAAGTAAGACATAGAACTCTTTTCATTCATTTTTCATTCAGGTTTTCAATTTTGGCTCTTAAATACAATTACAGAGTTGTCCCTCGATATAATGAATGTATCTTATAATTTCCATTTTAATGATTAGGATACCGTAATTGAAAGTAACAGTTACTGTTCAATAAAGGCACTGGCACAGGGTAAAAGTTTTGCTTACAACTATTGTGGTCTTAATATTTAGTAAACTAAGTAAAAAAAGTAATTTTGAAACAGTATATTAAAATATTGGAATTGAAAATAAAAAAATCTTTTAATTTTCTTAAAATTTAGTGTGAAATATAAACACATATGTAATGAAAGATATAAAAACAGTATTTTTAGGATTGAAAACAAAATATCTTCGTATAAAGTTTTCATAAAATTTAGCGTCAATGTACAATATATAAATATAATCAAGGTATGCAACCTTGACAGTTTAATTAATTAATTACATTGTGTGTTTATTGTCAAATTGAAAATTGCTTGTCATACCAACTGCCTACAGAAGTAAACATGTCTCTCAGCGGAGAGAGAAATTTTTTTTCACATTTTGAACTACTGTGTTTAAGGCTATAGAGACCTATTCAGTACATTTACAGTCTTTGGAAAGAATTTATATCCACAATATAATGGGGCATGTTATGTCGCAGGGCTTAGGTTTTTTTTTTCATAAACAATATTTTATTCACAAAATGTATGAATGTGAGTGGGTCTTTAAAAAGACAGGTCGAAAAAATGTCTTATTGTAGGATAGATGTGAATTCATTTAGATTATATTGAATTTGATTACAGATTGGATTAGAGAAGAATAAAGGATGTTTATTAGTGGCTGAGATGAGTTCTACTGGTAATATGATAACAGCAGAGTATACAGCAGGTAACTCTTGTATTCTCCAAATATCCTTCACATGGTTTCAGTTCTAATATTGATATAGTCATCACAGTTCACTGAGTAAAATATCTGATTTTCAGCTACCTGAAATTATTTTCAATCGTTTCACTGGTAAAAAGGGGTAGTGAATCATTTTCAAAATATGTCCTATTCAGCATTAATTGTTCAGTAGGTAGGTAGGTAGATGGCAAGTAACGTTCGCTTCCAGTGGATGCTGCTATCGCAAACTTTAATTGTTCAGTGTTCTAAAGGTAGATTTATACTTCTGAAAGAGTCAACAGCCCTAATATGTAAGCGCCGGTTAATGGCGTGAGCTGAAGATTGCCCACAGACCTTACCACGCGTTAGCGTCTTTGTCCCAAATGTAAACACACACGCACAATACTCGCATGCATATTCGTTTTTTTCTGTTATCTTTTAGCTTCTTTTGATTGGTTGAAACGCTGGCTCATGCAAATTCAGTTGTAAAAGTTCGAACTCTCGAAAATGTTACGCCGACTTGCGATGTTATATGGCAAGTACTCGCTGACGACCACGAGCGCATACTAGCGTAATACGACGGTTGACGGCATCAGAAGTTTAAATCCACCTTAGTGTGTTTAAATATGTTCTGTTTTACAGCAACAGTTAAATTAGCAGAAGAGAATAAAGATTTTGTTATAGGATTTATCTGTCAGAATAGATTATCTGATGATCCTACACTGCTCCATTTAACACCAGGTTAGCAGAAATTAAATTAGTAGATTTTAGAGTTGTAATTTGGTATATGGGGTGTGTACAACTTGTAATGCAATAGAATTCATAATTGTTATAGGGATGCTTGCAGCTATATGATCTTTTTTCTGTAGAATATTCAGAATTCAATTCAGAGTCAATTACTTCTGTACAGTGAGTGCAAATATGAACTCTTTAAAAAGAAAGCTGAGATGGCAAACCTAGTTGCAAAATGCCATCAGGTGCTTTAGAAATGTAAGCATGTCAAGCCTCACCAGACCACCTGCATGGTATTTATTATAGGGGAGGTAAACAGTTTTTAGACTCAAAAGCTAAAAGATGATACATTCAAACTTGTACTAACAGTAACTCAATTTACCTCTATTCAGTACTACCACTCTTGATACAGCAAGCACCTTTAATTTCTTGACCCTGAACACATGTGACCCTCCAATAAGTAGCCAATTGTCAATAATCCAATACCAATAAATTAAACTCACAATTAATTACTACCAAACAGAAAATCCTTTTGGTTATAATCCATGAATATTTACTCTTATTAATTTTTTAATTTTTAAATTGTGCAACAAGCTTTTAAATTCAATTCATAACAAAATTTCCAAAATTTCCACGAAAAAATAAGCCATAAAAAATACAAAGTGTAAAACAGACTTGCCTTAAAGGTTTGTTTAATCTTAGTTAATACATTGGTATTGCTATTTAAAGTGTTACTAGGCCTATTTTTATTGTTAGTAAATACCTGCAATTACCAACTGCTCTGTGTTCATCAAACTGCCCTGTAGTAATCAGCCACTTTTAAGCATTCAATAGACCGAATGTTCAATACAAGTTTGACTGTATGTTGAAAGATAGCTTGCCAGGCAAGGTAATATATGCCCACTGTCAGTTTTGATTTTAAATTAAAATATTTAGCAGTACAGTAACAATCACCAGTATGAAATATTCAACCTTCAGTCATACAATCTTTCATAGGCATATTAGAAGCACAGGTTATAGATAAATAAGACAATTTATGGATAGATACTTCTAGAATATTTATTACTTCAACGTTTCGATGTGGTTCTCCACCGTCATCAGTCATACACTTCTTTTGAACTTTTTGGGGTGATACTGAATAATATTACCAAGTTTAGTCAAAATCTGTCAAGAATTGTTACAGGCTAAAACTTAAAAGAGTTTTTAAGAACAAGAGCAATAACTCAAACTAAATATTTTCCAATTCTTCTGATTTTCGATAGAGTTCATCCTTGGTTGATAACAAACACTCACACAAAGTGTTTACATGCTAAAAATTGAATGCATTTACAAGAACAAGGGCAATTACTCACACTATTTCAACAGGCTGATTTTGAATCTGTCTGTAAACTAGGTTTTTTTTTTCAAATTAAGGGAGAGGGGTTATTCTGAAAGACTTCTTCAAAAAATTAAGAATAACACACCTTTTATTGGATTGGATGTTCTACTTTTCGCACATATAAACACAGATCAGAATATCATATACCCAATTTCATGTAACAGATGCAATGGACAATATGTTGGAGAGACCCAAAACGTGCTTTGAAAGCGATTCAATAGCCATCACTATGATATAGTGCATGGCAAGGACAGATCAATTGCGAATCACTTAAACCATCTCATCATGCCTATAGAAGCAGTTTCTACATCACCTAGTATCAAATCTAAGCTAAGACGTCTACAACGCGAAAATAATTGGATCGATCAACTACAGGCTGTGAGGCCAAATGGACTCAACATTCAACACGATAACCAGATAATACTCTTTATAACGGCATTATAGTCAAATGCCATTACTTGGAACTTCAGAACAAGTTTCCCCATGTATACACAAAACGTTTGGTTGTAGCTTACAAAAGAAATCAAAATCTTTTTTATTTCATGGTAGACTTGAACCATTGAACAAGGGCAATTGATCCTATAAGTAGACATTAGTGACAACAATATATGCCCCCCATTTCATGAGGGCGTATAAAATTGTCCTCTAGGACTGTCTTGACCTTTAGCCTATTGGTGTGTTATTGATATACATGAATACGAATTATAAAATATTTACTTTGTGAAAGTTAAACTGTTGCCCAGAAAAGGATTTTATTATTCAAAATACATGTCTGCATCATGACATCACCTGTTATTATATAAATGGAAAAACTTCTCAATCAGTTCTTTTTTGTCAGCTTACCTTACCTAAAATCTTCATGTGACAAGGACAAAGTTTTTAATTTTTTTACAACAACATTGTTTTGTCCAAATTGAAGTTGAAATAAATGATATTTATTGACTGAGTTGAAATTCTTTCATTTAGGTGTTCAGTTAAAAAAAGGAAGTGATGATCTAGGGCAGCAATATTTAACACCAGAAGAAGTTATTAGTAAACGTGGAAATGATGTGATAATAGTTGGTCGTGGTATAACTCAATCAGCTGATGTTATCAATACAGCTATAGCTTATAAACAGTCTGCTTATAATGCTTACTGTCAGTTGTTGCAATAAAACATGTTTTTACTTTTAACTAGTTTTTATTTTTTTTCAAAATTAGAACAGCCCGAATATGCTTATTTTAAAAGGAAAGACAATCTGTGCAAGGAAACAACTTAGAGTGTTCAAATAATGTCTCATGATCAATTCTTCTGTCACTATTGTTTGACCAAAGTAAAAAGTTATTTGAATCTTTCCCATTATTTTTATGTAAATTGGAATAGCAGCTTCAAAATGTCTTCAAAATTTGTTTTTACAGAGGACAATTTTCAGCCACAAAATGAGACTTTATTGGGTTGAAATTTCTAGGAGGGAAATGTGTTTCTTTTAAATATAAACTTACAAAAAATATTTTTATCAACGTAGAGAAATTCTATTTTGAGGCCGCTATTCTACTTTTCCTAAAAAATTTTTAAAAAAAAATTATAACTTTGTAATTTGCCCAGACAATAAATACCTGCCAATGATAGTGCCCCCGCCAAAATTGATTTTGAAAGGTGATTGATTTGAGAGGATTTTTGGTTCAAATCATCAGCTTGGAGCCTGCTGTGAACCATAAAGACATTTGCATCTTCATAATGGTCTTCATTGTTAGGTACTGGTGGTGCAAATGTAAGACACACAAAAAGCCTTTCCTGGGTATTGAGTGTGACCTGATGATCACAGCCAATTCTCAACATGACATGCTCACTATTCATTTTCTATACCCACAGGACTTATTAGGTAAAGATTCTTTCAATAAGATGGGTTTTGTACTTTTTATTAATAGTGTCCACAGATTTACCTTGGAGCATGAGTTCATAAGGCCAACAGTTATTTCAATACAAAATTGATCAGTTTCTCTGTGATCACATCAAGCACAGTTGAACAATTCTTGGGGGAAAAATTTACCTCCTGTCATAAATATTCAGAAGTAGACTACCTGCAGGTGTCTAAAATTCTCTGAGACAAAATAAGACATAAACAGACTAACAATTTATTTTCAACAAGCCATTTGTTATAATCAAAGAAATGTTGTTTATAACACAAGTTATTAGATTTCAGGCAGAATTGTATGTACATATACCTTGAAACTAATCAATTTATCATAGTGTTTCGGTTTCTCTTGACAATCAACTACATAGTGAAAGACATTGGTAACTAAAATAATATCAGACAAATCATAACAACTCTTTCATGTTATTAGGGTATTTGATCCAGAAAACAATTTGTTTTAAACTATTGACTTTGTAATAAAGTTTTTAAGGTACAAATGAAATTCTTCAATGAAAAAAAGTGGTAAAAAATTTTATCGATATAATGTGGTAATAAAAATTATCTGGTGAGCTGGTGTCTGAAACTATAACTATTAATTGTTTATTACAAGAATAGAAAACAAACTAAGAAAAAAAACAACCTCCTAATAAAAATTATAACCACAATATGGTGAATTTGATGATTTATAAGATATAATAGAAAAGCTTACCAGTTTTTTTACTTGAAGATATTTTGGTACTTGAAGTAAGGTTTCATAGAATTTGAACATAAAAGATCAATCTGTATTGCCAGGACCCATTTGTATGTTTTCATGAAATCACTAATTTAACCCATATAGTCAATCAGAGCCGCTGGCAGAAGACTGCAAAAAAAATGGTTGCACGAGTTTCTACCTGTTTCTGGCCTCCACAAAACATTTCTCATGCTCAGTTTAGTTTTGACTCAAATACATAATGTCCCTATCATCAAGAAAAGGTAAATTTGAAGATTAATGTGATAATGCCAGGAACATTTTACCCTATATAATAGATTGATATATTTCTTTATATACAATCATTTATGCATTTCTGCTTCAAATTTGAGTAAATTCTCAGCAAAGTATGAAAAAAAGGTTGCTGGCCCAAGGTGCTTGGTCAATGTGAACTTTGATTTACAAACCACAATGGACTTTTATCTATATTCTGTATACATATGATGTCCGGTATACGTATAACTTGACATAGTGAAGATGAACTGTACTATGTCTGCAGATTTGAACCTTACAAAGCTTAGAAAAACCAATTACACCGGTATCAAATAATTTAAGTGATATACGTAATTATTATCTATGATATTTGGTAATTCTAACAATATATTATGAAGTTATATTATAAATATCTTAACAATAAGTATAAGCAAATATTTTGATATTTAAAAATTACTTTTTTTTGTAGTACATTTAAGGTATTTTCAATTATTTTATAACATTACCCAAATAACACCTAGTCTTTCTACCTGATGCTGATACTTGAATACTTGTAGTATTGAAAATCTTAACTTAACCTATTTGTCAAAATAATTAAATTAAGATCACATTTTGTTTCACTACTATTCTTTTTGTTGGTCTCCATTGTAATTTTACAAGATTTATACCAAGGTCACATCCCACTCTCCTTCAAAATCACATTTACAAGTGAGTATCTGCAGCCTCATAATCTCATTGGTCATGTCTTTCTACTTTTTGTTAGAAAGTACAATTCATAGTTGATTATAAGACATGGATTCTGCATGACGCCCTATGATTGGTTGAAAATTTCAACCTAAAACAAATGTCAACAGTACACAATCTTTGTATAAATCTTTTTATATGAGAGACCAACGAAAAAGATATCTTGCAAAGTAACATACACCCACCCAGCTATCAGAAATTAAACTGTTCATCTGATAGTTACCAATTTCGAAGTTGAACGAGATCTCATCAATATACATGCATACCAAGTTTCTTCAAGATTGGATAAAAACTAAATTTGATGCTTTTTTACTAAGTCAAAGACAATAACTATAACTGTTTATCTGATTATTTCCCATGTCGAACTTGAATGAAATCTTATCAATATATGCATGCATACTAGTTTAATCAAGATCAGATAAAAACTTTAGACTTTATCATGCCTACAAGCCTAATTCAACATGTTTTCACTAAGTCAAGTGCAATAACTCCAAACAATTCATCCGATTGTCATCAATTTCAAACTCAACCTTATCATTATATGCATGCATATCAAGTTTCATCAAGATCAGATAAAAACTGTGTAGACTTTATCGTGCCTACAAGCCAAACTTGACGAGTTAGGGGCAATAACTCTGAAACCACTCATCCCATAATAACTAATTTTGTATTCCATTGAGATGTCATCAATATATAAATGCACTCTAATTTTCATCAAGATCAGATAAAAACTGTGTACACTTTATTGTGCCTACAAGAAATGTGAACGGACGGACGGCAATATACATCCACATTTCTATATGTGCGTATAAAAAATATATAAATAGGCAATCTAAGTAAAATTAGACTACAATACATTTTTTATATTTCATTAATTTTCAATCAATTATAAATTAACAAGAGTTTTTAATATTGACATTATTAATATATGTACATGAAAAATACCAATCGCTGTTATTTCGAACTTTTATTGTTAACAATAAAATAAGTTTTTTGTAAACAGATAAAAATAACATTACTTATAAATATATATATGAGACAAATTCTGCAGCCAAATTTTATTTAACATGAAAATCCAACATTCTGTTGAGATAAGACCAGAGACTACCTCCTCAAACTTCATGATCATATTACCAAAATACATGAAAAAATAATGCTGTGAATTGAAGGACCTACCCACTTAAAACAAAAGACTTGTTATTTTCCTTTTTTTGAGATTCATTGCAGAGAGCAGTGAACTTGTACTTAATTAGGGTACATACCAAACTGTTATGGCATACATACATTCAATATTTTGTTATTTCATTAAAATTGGTGTAAAGACACACAGACATCAAAAAATAAGAATTAACAATGTCTGCAGTTAGCATTAACTTTATAGGATGTAGTGCTTTGAAAATAAAATACAAAACATGACGAAATTATCATGATCCTAACCTTGAAAATATACCAAATAAATATTATTAGCTATGAGGACTCTCTGAAAGGGATGCTGAGTTAACTTACACAGTTTCAGATTGTTCCACTATCTTCCTAACATAATGCTATTACAAACTTTGTCTTATACCTTGATTGCAATATCCACCTTTCTTGTATCACAGAATGCATTGATTTCATTGGATTGTATGCAAAAGAGAACACCTGACCAGAGCCCTACACAAATAGACAAAACATATTAGCTTATTGCTTAGAGTTTTTTTGGAAGACTGGCTGTATTTGTTCACATACAATCAAACCAAATCACTGCATTTACAAACTTCCATGATACAAGAAAGGTGGCTATTGCAGTCAAGGTATAAGACAAAGTTCCTAACAGCTTGACATTGTGAAGATGGTGTTCCACAAGAAACCATGTTCAATTATTTAGAGTACTGTATAACATATAGAATTCTACTTAACTTTAAATCAAAGTTATTTCTTTACATTCTGAAGGAGGTTTGTAAATCAAAATAACACATAATAATATTGGTATTATACAGCAAACTCATGAAGTCATTTATTACAAAACAATTCAAACAATATTTTTTCAGCAAAAATATAATCATAAATAAAGCACTAAAATGGTACATATGTACAAAAAAAAAAAACAATAATTAAAAATAATATTTCATCACATATCAAATAGATGTGTTCAATGTTCAATCCATTTATTTCCCTCTATACCTCTGATAAATATTTAATAAATGAAAGCTTATAGACAACTTGTAGGTTACATTAAAGTTAATTCTATTTTTTATCTCCAGTATGATTCAGTAGACCAATTATCCAATATTCTTGCCATTATTTTGATTAGGTGTGGACTTCAAATTAAAGATGGGTTCCCTTACTTATTTTCATTTATGAAAATGAAATTTCTAATACTTTATATGAATAGAAAGTAGAGGTTTTCTAATGATTTGGCAAAATACCAGTTTGTCTCACATGTCCATAATTATTTCATAATTAGCTACAGAAGAGAATTACCAGCAGAATTCCAATGATTGACCGATCAAGAAAGGTCAAAAAGTCGTTTTTTTGTTTTATCTAGACTGTACATACATGGACATTTATGATTGGTTAATTATATGCAATGAGAATATAATGATATGATTAAGAATACGTGACAATTCATTAGAAACACTAATTAATCAAATAATTTGCTTAATATGACTCTAAAAAATAAGGAAATCCATCTTTAATATGATTTGTAATTTGACAAATTGCATGATAAAATAGGTAACACGATGAGGTTAATTGTCTGAACATTGTAGCCCTATTTCATCATGGATAAGCTGTTGTGATGACCTATGTGCTATTGCGGGTATAGTGAAATTCTTCGAGCAATCGTGCGCGCAAGTACTAGAAGGTACCTGCTTCCGATATCTACAGGTCTTTGCACCAGAGTGAACAATAGTGTTTTGTCAACAGCTGTATAAATCAAGATGCCCGTCTTTCCTTAAAAAATAACCAAACCTTTTAAGAGTAACATCACTTTGTACAGATAGGCCTATATGGTTCTTCATGCCTTTCTTTGAACAATATAGCTTGTATTGATGGCAACATTTGCACCAGTCAGAAATAATAATTTTTTCAATGAATCCCTGTATAATTTCTTCCACTTCATCAAACAGCATCTAAGTATTTTAGTAGAATTGTTCTTATCAAACCAATGTACCTTATACAACAGTTACCTGTTCCTTTATAATCTGTATCAGGAATCAAAGTTGTTCTGTTTTTATTCTGGAGCCACAAATGAATAGTATTTAAAAATAGCATGAAAATGCCTTTCCTTCTTAAAAAATGACTCCGATAAATATATCAATTGTCATCATTTTTTTCTGATAAGGACATTCAATAATAGAAGAATATAACGAAGAACTATATTTAGTATATTAACAATGACCGGTATATTAACCTGTCAATGGGCGGAGATCAACTCGAACACGTTCACAAGAACTTAACATTCCTATTGTAGGATAAAAACCACCTTTTGGTATCATGGTTTTTCTTTTTCCAATTAATTTGCCATTTCTTGTAAAAAACACCTGAAACACATATCAAACTTACATTCACTTTCAAATTAAAAAAAAAATTAAAAATTGAATAATCAAAATGAAAGATGATAAGTAAACCATAGACATGCATAATATCAAATTTTCATCAAAAATTATACACCATCAGATACTACCTGTTAGAATGAACATAAAATTTAACTTCCCAAACATAGTCATAGAGTATATTTTCATCAGTGGACTTACTAACCTGGTGTCATAAATATACAGCAGAATTCCTCTATAATTCAATAAATGCATAAAAAAAGTGTAATTATTCTAAGCCTATTTTTAACTTATTATGCAGTTTTATGGAAAGAACACAGTTTTATGGAATTATGGGGTTTTATATACAGGGATTCTGTTCACAAGAGTAAATATATATATGTTTACCTGAACATTGGTACCAGTACCAACTTCACCATTAGCTTTAGCCCATGGTTCCTCATCATCTTCATCATCATCTGAATCAGACCCATTCTCAATCTGATTGTTAGATATTCGAACATATTCATCTTCATCATTAACATTTAATACATCATTCTCACAATCATAATCTGGTGGAAATAATATACCACATCCCATAATATCACCTGAAAAATACATCATTATATATCAATATCATCATTTCACAACACTATCATCATTATACAACAATATCACCTTAATATACATCATTATACATCAATATCATCATTATACAACAATATCACCTTATATACATCATTATACATCAATATCATCATTTTACAACAATATCATCATTATACAACAATATCACCTTATATATACGTCATTATACATCAATATCATCATTTTACATCAATATCACCTTATATACATCATTATACATCAATATCATCATTTTACATCAATATAACCTTATATACATCATTATACATCAATATCATCATTTTACATCAATATAACTTTATACATCATTATACATCAATATCATCATTTTACAACATTACACATCAATATCACCTTATATATACGTCATTATACATCAATATCATCATTTTACATCAATATCACCTTATATACATCATTATACATCAATATCATCATTTTACATCAATATAACCTTATATACATCATTATACATCAACCATCCTTGTAAATTAATTAAATTGATCATAGGCCTACATGATCAGAGTTAAAATTAACAAATCTATAATTAGGGATAGGCCTACCCAGGCAATAAAAGATAGCTTGCCAGGCAAGGTAATATACACCCACTGGCAGCTTTGATTTTGAATAAAAATATCTAGCAGTACAGTTACAATTACCAGTATGAAATATTCAACCTTCAGTCATACACTTCTTTTGAACTTTTTAGGGCGATACTGAATAATATTGAGTATGAGTTATTGCCCTTGTTTTTTAAAAAGTGTTCAACTTTAGCTCGTGAAAACTCTAGAAGGCAAATATTCAATCTTCAGGACTGAATAATAAAACCAAGTTTTGTCAAAATCTGGCAAGAATCATGCCTTTTAGTGTTTAAGAGCTAAATTTTGAAAGCGTTTTCAAGAACAAGGGCAAAAACATATTTAGACTTTTTTGATCTTCGATAGGGTTCATCAATGGGTGATAATAAACAATTTCACCAAGTTTCCTCAAAATCTGTCAAGAATTGAGCCTTCTAGAATTTTTTTCGAGCTAAAAATTGAACACGCTCTCAATTTTTAATAATAATTGATAGTAAATATTTTTCGATTTTTTTGATTTTCAATAGGGTTCATCCTTGCGTGATTACGAACACTCATGCCAAGTATCGTCAAAATCTGTCAGGAATTGTGCCTTCTAGAGTGTTTACGAGCTAAAAATTGAACGAGCTTACAAGAACAAGGGCAATAATTCATACTTAATATTTTTTAATTCTTCTGCTTTTCTATAGGGTTTATCTATAGGGTGATAAGAAAACGCTAATGCCAAGTTTTGTTAAAATCCGTCAAGAATTGTGCCTTCTAGAGTGTTTACGAGCTGAAAATTGAACGTGTTTTGAAGAACAAGGGCAATAACTCATACTAAATATTTTTCGATTCTTTAGATTTTCAATAGGGTTCATCCTTGGGTGATTACATATACTCACCCCAATTTTCGTCAAAATCTGTCAAGAATTGTGTCTTGTAGAGTGTTTACGAGCAGTGTAGGACGGACCAATGGACGGACGGACATGGGTGACTACAATATACCCCCCCCATTTCATGTGGGTGTACAAAAATAGGTTCCCTTAATCTAATTTATTCTTTAAGTGTTTGTTTTATAAAAAAAACAAGCCTCAATTTCAATAGCTTGGTATCTTATTTCTCAGTGTAAGCTTATTTAATTATATTATTTATAAATAATGTGTCTTTTATACATGGTTTGGCTGAAAAATATATTACACAAATGTAGCAAGATTTTCATGATCTTTTAGCGAGTAAACAGGGAATCTATTTTTAGCTTTTTCATTCAGATTTCAGTTCCTCTGATTCTCCAAGCTTTTTCTCATCCTCACAAGATCTTAGAAACATTAATTAATCAAATGATAAACATGATTTGGCCAAGAACAAAAAGAAAACCAATCTTTGATCTGTTCAAGGAGATATTTATCGAGCTAGACACTATTTCTATCTGGGTTGTCTGGGTTTCTAGATCACTCATTCCAATTTTCAAATAAAGTATGTTCTATCCTAGGCCTGTACATTTAGTAGAATCAAACCCTCCCTTCCCCAAAATCAAATTCAATAGTAACGGACAACTACAATGTACATCCTCACCTTTATGACATTTTGGACCAAATGGATCACCGACACCAGAACCAAGAAATATTTTACCGTCATCTACAATACATAATAATAATCATATACACCAAAAAATTCTATAAGGCCATACCAAAATAATTTTCTGTTCTTTGGGATTTCTTGAAAAAAAAAAAGGGACGAGCGAACGAAATTTTTTTTTTAATTTTAAAAAAAAAATGTCTAAAAGTTAGTAATCATTGATTTGGTTGGTGAAATATAATATTTTTTAATTTTAAAAAAAAAAAAAAGTCCCTTCGTACCATTAAAATTTTCCAGCATGGATGATTTTGAATGTATTCAGATAAAATAACAATTAATAGTATTTATTTATGGTGTAAAGGCTTCAAAACATTTTGGTATGGCACAACTAGCTGTTTTAAATTTGTCATGGTGCGTATCGACATACCACAAAAATTTTTTAATCTTCCACAAAATTTCTTTTGCACAGATTAACTGGTCTTTTGACCAGCCATCATCAATTGTTTTGCACCAATCTAGCACATCACAAAATAGTTTTTGAGGTCCAGTTAAGGTTTTGTCAAAGATTGGTGGTGTAGGTTTTTCAGGAAACATTAATGTCTTTCTTGATGCCATCATAAAATCGAACACATTTTTATCACTTTTGGAACGAATGAGAAAAAGTCCATAAACTTGGATTTCAGTTCATCACACCGAGAAATTTTCGACGAAAGTGTAACCAAGACACCGCCTGATTTTTCAATATTGTCCTTGATGTACACTTTTTCTGGGATCTGTGATATGCACGATTGAATTCCTGCAGATGCCAGATCATAAACATCTTTAAAAGTGTTTTCAGGCTCAACATCAAACATGTATGGCAAAATAAGTTTCTGGTGTGACCTAATTTTGATTACTAAAATCATTTTGGTAAAAAAGACAAATACAAATATTAATTCTAGCACTGCATCGGCCATGCCTATTTCTGATAATTATCAACTTCCGGAATTTCGATGCGTCCGGTCGTCGAGAAAACGTTCTTGCTTCAGCGAAGGGCCTAAACTACTGTACGAACTCACTCTTTCAACAGCTGGAACATGTTCTACTATAATTGTCGCACGATGTCCACAAACTGACAAACGGAAATAGAGGGCACAATTTGTTACTCCCGCTACTAAATTTTAGGCTTAGAGAAATAAAAATGAAACTAAAAATGAGAGCTAAACAATCATGTTATCTGATCAATTTAGAGGTACTGACATACGGGCAATATAATTTTTTTTTTAAAATTAAAAATTCTTTTTTAAAAATTTTACATACGGGAGCTCTTTTGATACATACGGAATATTATTTTTTAATTTTAAAAATAAAATTTCGTTAACGGAAAATCGGGTACGGAATTCCCGACAAACGGAATATTATTTTGGTATGGCTTAATAGTGAAATTCTTAAAGATAGCTTGCCAGGAATGGTAACATACGCCCACTAGCAGCTGGTAGAAATGATCACATAGTTTAGTGACCAGAATACAAATTTTAGCACATCAAAGATCTTCATAATTCAGTTCAAAACTTTTGAATTCATTCATTTCTATTCGTTTTAGTGTCAATTATTTATGCTGAGTTAACATTTATACATTTTTACTAAGTCAAGGGCAATAACCACAAAATTTGCCTCCAGAAAGATTGGGTGCAAAAGCTAGAGACTTTTTCAAAGCATGTAAATTTGTGAATTTTAAGCTCAAAATTGCTTTTTATTTTAAAAGAATAAGCCTTAAGCTATGTAAATTAATTATTTATCATAGTTCTATAGGCCTACATGTCACAGTTAAAATTATCAAATCTAAAATATATACCCAGTCATGAAATAGTCTAAATAGTGCCTGATCCCAGTCCTCTAAATTAAATGGTACCAGTGGGCCTACTTGTAAAAAATCAGTATGTACCAAGTTTCATCAAGATCAAATATAAACTGTAGCCTCCTTTGTGCCTACAAGCCAAACTTGATGCATTTTTACGAATTGAAAATGCAATGAATCCAAACGGTTCATCCAATTATTATTAAATTCAAACTTGACAAGGTCTCATCTCATATACATGCATATCAAGTTTCATCAAGTTTGGCTTGAAACTGCAGCCTGTTATCTACAAGAAATGTGGACAGACACATGGACAAACAGCAATATATATCCACATTTCTACGTGGTCTTATAAAAACTAGCAACCTTAAAATGAATCTGCTTCAACACCCATATAAAGTGACATAAGAGGGTCATACCTGTGAGGATATCACATCCTTACATCACATCAGAGGAAGAGGGTAGGACCACATTTGTTAGGCTAATAAACAATGTAAAATAATCAGACAATTGTGAAAAATACATACCCGCATGATAGGCAATTGAACCACGATTCCAACCAGGATGTCTGTGGGGTGGATAGTTCTAAAACAATATAAATCAATTTTTATGTATTATACTCAACTGATATTCATTGTAACAAGGACATTTGGGTTAAACTGACAAGATGTATTACACTTGAAGTGGGTCAACCAGAAGTTTCATTTTTCGTGACTACATGTATGTGATGCAAATGTTTAGACTTTTTGCACATTTTGCATTGTGCTGCTTCAAGTACCTCAGTTCCTGAACAGTATGATGCATCATATAAATAAAAAAAACAGGAAGCAGAATCCTGCAATGATTTTAATTTCCCATTCAATATACCTTTACAGTAGGCTTAAGCAAAATTTCTTCTGCTTAAATCTATTGATTGTTATCTAACCAACTAAAAGACATAGACTATAAAAGGTCTAAGTTAACATTTGAAATTTTTTTAGCATCTTCAAAATTAACAGCAGTATTCTATTAATACTTTCAGAAAAAGTCAGGAAAGCTTATCTCTTTGAGTTTTTGTTATCAATTCCCAACTTCTTAAATATCAGATTGCCCTTTAAGAAGATAGAGGAAAGGACTAACTAACCTGTCTTGCAACTCCAATAGCAATATAACAGTTTTCACCCGGATCAACAATTTCTATTTCAAAATAATGAAAAGTGGTATCTAAAGGAAACTTTGCCTGAGCTAAACCAACATCTAAAATACTCTTACCACGACCAGCATATTCAATAACCTAGAAAAAGGAAAACATCACCTGGCAAACAGAAAGTTTTTCTTTTTCAAACACAATTATAGGGATTTTAAAAAAATAGTGGACCACATCCAGACAAGTCCACCTTGACACTTGGTTGATAAACTTTCACCTTTAACATTTCACATTTCACATTTAAAGATGGACCTTCCATCATAATATTAGTCAAGTTTTACAATAACAAAATAATTTCCCTGTTAAAATAGTGCTCAATACATCAATTGTAGAGAGATATGACTTTATCAACTAAGTTTAATGCAAAAACTGAAGAAATATTTTTAAATTTTGAATTTGATGCAAGTAAAAAGCAGATCATACTTACAACACCATTTAACTTAACATCATGTAATCTAGACCATTCTTCTTCACCATAATCTACAGCCATTAATATAATATCTTCCTTATTCCAATCAATATTATTATTTATACGTACTTCACCTTCACAATGGAAACCAACTGCTGGGTGAAAACCTCCTGGTGGTAAGGGCACTGACATACTACCTAACTATTAATAATATATAATTTTATTTTACTAACAACTATAAATTAAAGAAGCAATAAATATATGGGCATACTATTCATTAAAGATGGGTTCCCTTGTTTTCATTTATAAAAAAGAAAATGCTACTATTTATATGAATAGAAAGCAGTTGATACTAATGACTTGGAAAAATACCAGTTTGTCTCACATGTCCATAATTAATTTATAATTAGCTAAATTAGAAGAGAATTATCAGCAGAATTCCAATGAGTGACCGATCAAGAAAGGTCAAAAAGTCTGTACATACATGGATATTTATGATTGGTAAAAACTCCTTATACTTTGAGCTATAAGAAGATAGTACTGGGAGAAATTTACACTATATCAGTTGGTCCAGAAATAACACTTCATAAAAAATAAATTCTTAGAGTGAAATAATTTGCATTCATAATTATAGAGACAAGCCTTTTCACAAAAAAAAAATAGTTTCATTGGCTTAAACACTCCTTGGCTTAAAATTCCTTGTCAATAAATGCCATGCAAAAATTACTGTAATTGCCTGTAACATCTTTAATTGAACAAATGGTCCACGTGGCATGACAGAATTATATTCCAGATTTTGAAAGAGGTTTTTCATTTCTTAAGTTCCTCCATTCGGCAAAACCTTTAATTTTCTGTAAAGCTAAATCTGTAATCATTGGTAATAAATAATGAATTCCGCAATGTCTTCTTGGGCGAGACTCATTCCTTCCGGTATGAAGCAGTGATTTGTCAATTGATGCAACCTAAATACGGTCCAATACAGAGACTTTGGAACATAATTCTGACACTTACATAATTATGTATTTAATGCTATATTGTGACTAATGGTTATCTAATGAAACCAATTATTATCATATTGGATCCGTATCTTACAAAGTTTTTGTTTTCATTGTCATTCAAACACTTGAAGTCATTATATTATAATTACCAGCATCACATGATCACGTTACAATAATGACATAGTTCCGGTAAAAAAAATGCCCATTCATTACCGTGATAAGTTGTAGAGCGAAAGTGTAACTTTGGCGGAGGCTGTTTGTAGTTTGTCTTCATTGAAGACTGTTAACTTCTCAATTAGAGAGTTCTGTAGACTGTTATCTTATTGTTTTCAGGAGGGTGAGGGCTGAGGGGTGGTCAATCGCTCTTTTTATACAAAATACTACAAATTTTGTCAAGGAAAAAGTGTTTGATGGCAGTTTGAACCGAAGATTTATTATTTGTCAATGATTGAAATTTCACAATTAACTCTCACCATTAAAATAATAGAAAAGAAATTTCAAAACGGCTGGTAATCAAAGTTGTTTAATCTATAATATGTATCCTGTAATATGAGGTCAAAATATCATGCTCTTAGATTTGAAAATCTTTAAATAATCTGGGCCACCGATTAACTTTCTGCAGAGTACAAACAAACACGCCAAGCTTAGCATTTATTTAATAAAATACAGCAATTTCAATATGTTTCATGACACTTTTTTGAATACATAGGGTGGGTTTTTTTTATTGGAAATATATCTTAAATTCTGACCAGATGGTAGACTTTGAGCTTTGGTTTATTTCCTACACCTTTTAGGATCATCGTAATAACCACGTATTCGTAAAATAAAATATTGTTTAAACCAACAATGTGGTTCTCTTTTTTTGGCTTACCTCTGTACCATTTCTTGTGAAAAATACACGAACAATTTGAGAATCATCACTATCACCATCTTGCTGGACATACTTTATACCACAACCAACTTTATCACCTACACCACATTTAGGCCCAAATAATTTACCAACATTACGAGCCTTGTATATCCTAGAAGTGATACAAAAAGTTTTAAAACAGTTTCTTATCAATAATATTTACACTTACATTATATCTATCTTAAATTGCCTTGATAGCAAGGGTCTATCTAATTCCATGTTATTTTCAGTTACCATTATTAACACTTTATGGGTTATAATATTTTTCACTAAGTATTAGTTTTTTTTAAAGGTCTCTGTAGCTAACAGTCTGTAGCTTACAGTTTGTGAGCTAACAGGTTCAGGATTTAAAAGTTAGCCAAGAAGTTCCTCCAGTAGAGGCAACCATTTGAACCTGGTTTTAAATATATTTTGAGAAATTTGTTTTGGTCCATGAATTTTTTTTTTTTTATATTGTTATCTTGATAGTTTACCAGACGCAATAAGAATATAATTGAGTAAGAATGTTGTCCTGGTAAACTCTGATGTTATTTGAGTAAAATAAGGAAATCATTTCATACCTGTTCCTTCTGTATTGTCATTACAATGGACCCATTATGAAACAATTTCAAAAGCAAAATGATTTTCAAACCTACTGATCTAAATGAATTCTTTTTTTGGAATTCCAGTATATTGATCTGAAATTCAGATAGGAATGATAACTGAAGATCCATAAATAAATTTACAAACCTGCCATCTCCTGTATGATAACCAACAGAATACATCTTATAACCTGGTAGTACATCTAAATTATATTTATAAGGAACCAGTCCAATAGCTAGAAATAATAATTCATTCATGTAAGATTATATCATATAATAATTATCAGACAAATAATCAATTTCAAAACATGCTGAAAATTAAGGTGAATACATTATTAACATCTGTGAAAAGATTAGATTACTGGTTTTTGGAGTCTACTGATCCTAAATCTGAAAATTTAACAAATCAAAACCGTTTCCTTAAAATTGATTGAAAATTTTGACTTTTTTCAACTAAGAAAAAGGTTAAATAGTTTATCTAAAAACCCAGATTTTACCAATTTCAATGATCATACCAAGTTTAATCAAATTCATGAACATATTCTGATGCTTTCAAATGAGTCAAAGACAATAACTCCAAAAAATCTCATTCATTTTAATCAGTTTAAAAGATTTTAATCTTACCTATTGGGCCTTCTAGATCAAATCCAACATCTAATAATTCTACTTCAAAATAACTATTATCTGGTGTAATAGGACTAGGTGATATGTACACACCAACTTTATTCTCATCGTTTACTTGATAACTAAATATAGAAAAAATAGCTTGGTAACCATGGTAATATACATACCCACAGCAGAAAAATTGCAATACAGTCTAATGTTCTATATGTACACATATACAATTATATGAATCCATAAAGATAGCAACACAAACCATGGTATATATGTCAACATCACAGTTGACTCCATTAGAAAAGCCTGCAAGTCAGCATAAGATGGCATCCGAAAAGTCTTTCTTGTGTCAAGGTCAGTACTAAAAATTTGACATTTCAAACCTTCGACACAAGATTAAACAAGTGGTTGCCTAGCAAGATACGCCCACTTTCCCAATAAATTTTCAGTATATCAAGGGCAGTCACCTATCTGTGTCGAATCGTACCAAAAATCTAATTTGTGCAAGATATTGTTGATTTAAACATATAAAATTTAATAATATTCTGACATTAACTGTCAACTCTATCACAAATTTTGATGCATTTTCACTAAGTCAAGGGCAATAACTCAAATTCGGTCAACAGAAAAATCATCAGATTCAAACTTGAGTCGACTAAGATCTCATTGTAGTAGATGATCACACCAAATTTCTCTAAAGTCAAGATTTTAATTTCTCTATAGTGTTCACAAACAAATTTTGCCTAAGTCAAGGGCAATAACTGAAAAAGACTTCTAAAAAAATTGTCACCTTCGAACTTGACCAATATCTCACCATTATAAATGATTACATCAAATTTCATTTAAATCGGATGAAAACTGTTGTGTTCACAAACAAATTCTTATGCATTTTTCCTAGGCAAGCCAAGGGCAATAACTCAAAAACCGATCATCGAAAGAATGTCAAGATCTCATCAATATAAATTAATTCAAGATAGCTTGCCAGGCAAGGTAATATAGGCCCACTGGCAGCTTTGATTTTAAATACAAATATTTGGTCATACAGTAACAATTACCAGTATGATATATTCAACCTTCAGACATACATTTCTTTTGAACTTTTTGCGGCGATACTGATTAATATTACCAAGTTTCATCAAAATCCATCAAGAATTGTGCCTTCTGGAGAGATTATGTGCTAAAAATTGAACAAAGTTGCCTTCTACTTCTAGAATGTTTACGAGCTAAAAATTGAACGCGTTTTAAAGAACAAGGGCAATAACTCATACTAATTATTTTTTGATTCTTCTGATTTTCAATAGGGTTCATCCCTATTTCATGTGGGCGTATAAAAATTAGAAGCAGAATTTCAATGAGTGACCGATCAAAAAAGGTCAAAAGTCTTTTTTTGTTTATCCAGATTGTACTTACTAATGGACATTTATGATTCTTATTCATATGCAATAAGAACATAATGATATGATTTAGAATACCGTTTCCACGGAAGATTTATTTTTTTCACACAAAGCCATATTTTTCATCCCAAAAAAGAAGTGCTCAGCGGATTTTGATTTCGTAGATCAATGATGACTTTATCACTGTTCTGACGTCATTGCCCACAAAATGGTGAAGCTTTCAAAAAATCAACATTGAAATTTGCTATTTCTTGTGAATTTGTAAATTAGTACAGTTGTTTTGACTGTCTTCATGATGATAGGACATTGTTAGCCAAAGTTGTCGCTTCTGATTGGATTTATATAAGCTATTTACACAAAAAATTTTGTTGTGAAAATGTTGAATTGATTCTGTCTCCTTGTGACGATTTTTTTGGCTTCAATTTCTAGTAAGCTTACTTTTTATCTTTTATTTTCTACTTTTTTAAAGAATAGTGACATCTTTAAAAGTTTTAAAATACATTTACATTCAGATTGTGATCTCTGCCTTATATGTATCTTTAATTAGTCTTATTTAAAAATGTCAACCTGAATAAAATAAGATAGCTTGCCAGGCAAGGTAATATACGCCCACTGGCAGCTTTGATTTTGAATAAAAATATTTGGCAGTACAGACGGACGGACATGGGTGACGGCAATAAACGCCCCCCATTTCATGTGGGTGTATAAAAATTGTTGAAATTGCATAAACTGTGATATATAAATGAATGTCCCTGGACATAAGATCCGTCTAGAGTTGGAATAGCTACATTTTCCTACTTACCTCAGAATATCTCCCTCAACCATAACTCGCTCAAATCTTGCTTGTTTCTTACCATCTTTACCACCAGCCATACCAAACATTGCAGCTGCCCCTACTGCATGTCTATTGGGTAGATTGCCACAGACATTTAATATCTGGTTACGTAGGAAAGATTCCATATCACATTTATAACTAATAATGAAAAAAAAAGAATGTATATTAGCTGACTAACTTGTTACCTGAATGAAATTTTAAATTTGCTTGTTATTTTAGAGAGATGTGGGCATATAAAAATACACTACATATCACAAATACAGGTTTTGACATGGTTTGTGCTTTTTAAATCTGACAAATCAGAAACAATGAAAGTAGGTCATCTAAACAAAACACTTTGCTGCCACCTGTTTGAAGAGATAAGAACACATTCTATCGAAGTAAATATTCCCAAGTAAGGTTTAATTTTCTCTCCGCTTCAATTCTTTACGGAAAATCTATCAATTCTGTACAGTCCAAATTAATCAAAATATGTAGTGGCACACTGCTTTCGTCTGCTTCACTTTCACAAACAAAGTGTAATAACGAGTTATTTGTTTTGATTGGCTAAATTTTGCTATCAATGCATTAGGGACAATTTTAATTGGGCGGTATGTATGAATACCCAATTTTTCTCTTGTTTTACCATGGTCTTGAGGAAGTATGACGAGTGGGGGTGTGGTTTGGACACGATGACTTTATATGTGAAATATAATTGTAGTCTTTCATAGTGCAGGTATTGTTGAATTTTGAGGATTATTGTGCAATGTATGTTTTAATCTTTTAACAGAAAAAAAAGAAATACCAGAAATACTAGGGACTTTGCTACTGTGGCAAATTGCAAGAGACTTTGAAGAAATCAGCTTTCTAGGTTAATTAAGTCACATGTCAGAACTGTCTAAAGTTACAACATCTTCTGTCTTTGGAAGGTTGTGAAACCGGAAGTAGACATCAGACATCAGAAATGAAAGTATCAGCGAATAGCCAAAGTCAACAACATCTGACCTTGTAAAGGGGTAGGTCAACAAAGGTGAAAGTCACCAGATATGTCATCAAATTTTCAAAATGCATACGGCTATTAAACCGGAAGCTGTCATTGGACTTCAAATATGAAGGTATTAGTCTATAGCCAGAATCAATGACCTTCAATCCTTCAAAGATCAAGGTCAACAAAGGTCAATGTCAAAGATTGAAAATAAGGAAATTCCAAAACCTGTTCCTTGTTTTGAACTATAAAGCTGAAACAATTGGGCTTTTAGCACTAACTGGCCAAATGGATGAGGTAATTGTATGCAAAGTCCCTTTTTGAACAAACGTATCCAATGCGAATTATGCCCCTACTCAAAAATGTTAATGAGTAATTTAACCCAGATTTGCCACGCCCACCTCAACTTCTTTGTAACAGACTCAGACCACTTTTCATAACACACTCAGACCACTTTTCATAACACACTCAGACCACTTTTCATAACACACTCAGGCCACTTTTCATAACACACTCAGACCACTTTTCATAACACACTCAGACCACTTTTCATAACACACTCAAGCCACTTTTCATAACACACTCAGGCCACTTTTCATAACACACTCAGACCAAGTTTTGAACCTTACTTTTAATGAAACTCGGAACAATGTTACTTTTCAAAGATACAACTATTAGGTATTAATTTCAACTTATGTTTAAACTAATGTTAACCGATCGTTGCACGAGTGTGTTATAAAAGTGATCTAAGTGTGTTATAAAAAGTGGTCTGAGTGTGTTATGAAAAGGGGTCCGAGTGTGTTATAACAAGTGATCTGAGTGTGTTGTGAAAAGTGGCCTGACTTTGTTTTGGTCCCAGTTGTCTTGTATTGAGAAAAGAAAGCATGTTTCTTAGATGTAAATTTATCAAACCGGACATGTATTCTTAAAGTGGCATTCAGTTTTTTTCAATTGATTGCATGGCAACATGTTGAGGAAGATGTCATTTACCTATCGTGAACTTAAAATACATCTGAGCATTAAGTCAATGACAGCTAAAAAAGTCTTTAACTCTCTGCGTAAGAATCTCCTGGGCACCATTTTTACTGAACTAGCCGATATTTGAGTATGACAAATGGATCTAGTTAGAGCGCCAACGTTTATTCCATTAATCTAATCAGTAATAATGTTCACAACTTATTGTAAAAATTTACGCCTTAAAATCCAAGTGTATCCATAATCATCTATGTGTGAGTGTGATCTCATTTAATTGTCCATTTAACTTGAATATTTGAATGTCTGAACAATGTCATATATACAGTAGACTTAAAATCCTGTCCAACTTTGTCTACGCACAGCTGCAACAGAAGATGTCTTGGTGTTAAGAGTCTATATCAACAAGGCGTTCAAATTTCGGATACCCCAATTTTTTAGAAAGAAGATAAGTTCCAGTTGTGATCGCAGTAAATAAAAAGTTAAATTACTTGTTTGAGGTCTATATGACTATTAGAAGGAATTATGCTATTTTCGTATAGTTTTAGTAATTTTGAAGACTTTTTACAAGTATTCAAGGCACAAATCAACCCCCCACCTGTAGTCCTGTACCCTTAAAATTATATCCTGAAATTATGTGAAATGACAGAAAACTTTATAAATTCAAGAACAACTCTGTGTGGGAGAGCACGAGAATTTAGCATACCTTGTCTATTCCAACCAATATCATGGTAATAAGGAAATTAATATTGTTCACAGCATAGTTCTACCTACCCTCTAATAAATCAAATCAATCTTTCTAATGGCAATTCTTCATGATAAAGTAGTATGTTCCCGATAAGGACAACTTGTGATTACACATGTCTTTATTACATTTCTTGGAGTTTTATAAACGTTTTTCAAAAACAAAACAAACTCAGAGTTTGCGACTGGATAATCACAATTTGGTTCCGCTTCCGATCAGGGATACCTTCGATTCTTCCTAAATTGCCGAGTCTTCCCACATGCGACCGATATCTTGTCTCCTTGACTCGGGATAAAAGCAAAATAACCAAATACTATACTAGATAACATTTAATCATCAAAATAATCAATAAGTATTGAAGGCCTAACAGCCAAATATTAAGACGTCTTAATCCTTAATCCCTAGTCCTTAATGCTTAATTCCTACTCCTTCATTTCCGTCTTCATTAGCCCACAAGGTGCAGAAGAGTAGGACGTAAAACTCCATTCATTTCATTTCCTACTCCTTCATTTGTAGGTCATTTTCAACATTTGTTTCACAAAATCAACATTGGTTCACCAAAGTCAACATTTGTTCACCAAAATCATCATCGTTCTCTTAATAAATTTTTTGTACGGTAGTTATATTTTGTATAGGCACAATTCTGCGTTGTTAAAATAATTATTAAGTACCGGTAGTTACTGTTTATGAATTACTACTTATTGTTCTCAATTTGGATACAAGTTTCATTTTGTAAAACAAATGTTGAAAATGACCTACAAATGATGGAGTAGGAATTAAGGACTAGAGATCTAAGGATTAAGACGTCTTAATATTGGGCTGTTCGATTTTCCATAAATAGGGCCATTTCTAGACCTACTCAAATCTGATCGACAGAGATACCGTTATAGTATCAAAACATAATTATTATAAGTGTTCAATAATGGTATAAGCCTATAAGTTATCATACGGGATTTGACATGGTCTTAAGCCCACTACACGTCGTTTTGAGGGCGTGAAAATGTGATTGGTGACATTTAGGCTATATCTGACCAATCAGATCGGTAGAATGGAAATGAGGTAGAGGAATCAAAACACAAAACCGCTTGCCGCCACCCGTTTGAAGAGATAAGAGCACATTCTTTGGAAGTAAATATCCAAAGTAAAGTATGGCCTCAATTCTGTACCTTACATATTCATCAACATATATGTAGGCTAATGTCAGACTGCTTTCTTTTTGTTTAGGTTCGCAAACAAAGCATCATAACGATTGATTGGTTTGATTGGCTGAAATTTGCTACCAAAACAGTAGAACCAATTTTGATTGGTCACTTGTGTTACCACGACCCCGAGGAAGTATGACGAATGGGGGTGTGCTTTGGACACAATGATAATCCAATCTACCCAAAGACAACATAATCGCGTGACAATATACTTCCACATCTACACTACAAGGCTGGTAGGTCTATAGTGCCAGATGTTTCGGACTATCAACATGATCGCCTACAAGGTTACAGAAAAAATTAAGAATAATTTTTTTTTATTTGTGCTCAATAATCAAATGATCAAACTAAAGATAGCTTACCAGGCAAGGTAATATACGACCACTGGCAGCTTTTATTTTGAATAAAAATAATGGGCAGTAGCCCACAGTAACAATCACCAGTATGAAATATTTAATCTTCAGTCATACACTTGTTTTGAACTCTTTGGGCAATACTGAATAATATTTACTCTGAGTTATTGCCCTTGCTCTTGAAAACGTGTTCAACGACATGTGGGCGTACAAAAATGATTTGAATGTAAGAATCCCTTGAAAACGTTCGCCTACAAATGTCACTTAGTGCCACTCATCTCACTTGAGTAAGCTAGTTATCTAGAGTTCATGGCTTATGACGTCATATGACGTATTAATGTTTGGCAATCAATCAGAAATGTGAAATAAACTCATGTGATATTATACTTAATTTAAGGATTGAATGTAGATTTTTTTGCGTTCATTGGTTGTATGAATACACAACACAAATAAAATAGTGCAAGGTTAATTAAATTGGTTTTTTTTATAAACGAATGAAAATACATGTCTGAAAGTTCTTCTATAAGAGTAACAAATAACTTAGATATTCATCACGAACCGGAAACCGAGATTTGTTCCATACCTTGTCTATTTTTAGTTGAAACATTTTGTGTATTCATACCACGAATCCCAAGTTGTCACAGGAGATGACGTCATTACTACGCCATTACGTCATTACGTCATCGGAGATCACTGAGGAAATTTGTAGTTCATCGGTAAATGAATGCAAATTTCTCACATGGGTTCACTGTACCACGTGACAATATAATGTAAATAAAATTATATGCAAATAAAGTATATTTCTCTGTAGAGCGCATGCGTCTGTACTAATTTTTCAAATGTGTCCCCCAATAGAATCAAGCTGTAATTACAACGTTCAAGTAGGAAACTTCCAAGAGGTAACAAATTGTGATATTGTGCTCGATTAGTGACTATCAAAATAAATCTGTCAGAGGGTTATATTTTTATGGATATCAGTGCATTGATTATGAAAATTGATTCAAATTGTAGTCAACGACCTCAAGTAACAAAGCTCTTCACTCAATAACTCGAAAAAATTTAATACGTCTTGGGTAAATTATTTTTTCTTATAAGTAACAACATAGGACGGTTGATCTCTTTTAGAACCACGAGTTTTACTAGGTATAGAAGGTCGGGATCTACAATGTAAGTGTAGCTTGTTAGCATTATTCGGTGATAATCTATGACACGTTTCCGGTTCAGATGGTAGCAAATCTTCTGATGTAAACATTCGGCGAAGTCCACCACCGTCATCCATTTTTATACCACCACTTTGATGACACTGAACCTCAATGACAGGTTGGTTGATTTCCGGTTGTTTTAATCGAACCTGAACCATCTAAAAATATAATTTTGTGCAAAAAGTAGGACGTAAAACTTTCATTTCATATAATTTATTGGCCAAGTTTGAGTCTATGAATTTTATGTCCATTCTAAGAGGTAGTATTCCTTTAAAAGGACATATGTTTTTTTATCAATCGTACCATAGTCTCAGAAATGGGAAATTTTTAGCATAGCCAATCAGTAATCAGCAATAGATCCATGTGTGTCCAGAATTATCCGCGTTAGAAAGTTAAAAAGACGAGTCGTCTTTTCTTGAGACAATGCTCCATAGAAATAGGAAAGAAATTCCTAGTTTGAGATATTTTGGAAGGAACTATGTGATTTTCGTACATTTTAGTAGTCTACTTCTGAAGACTATTTACATTATATTCAAGACTTAAACCAACCACTGGCAGCTTTAAAAATATTTGGCAGTACAATAACAATCACTAGTATGAAATATTCAACTTTCAGTCAAACACTTCTTTTGAACTTTTTGAATCGATACTGAATAATGTTACCAAGTTTCATCAAAATCTATCAAGAATTTGGCCTTCTGGAGTGTTTACAGACTAAAACTTGAACGCGTTTTTAAGAACAAGGGCAATAATATTTTTCGATTTATCTAATTTTCGTTAGGGTTTATCTTTGGGTGATTACATACACTTACCCCAAGTTTCGTCAAAATCCATCAAGAATTGTGCCTTCTAGAGCGTTTACGTGCTACAAATTGATCGTATTTTCAAGAACAAGGAAAATAACTCATAGCAATTGTTTTCGATTTTTCTGATTTTTAATAGCGTTTTGATCATCTACATTCAAAAATTCTAGTGGATATCAGATGATTTGAGAAAATTCGAAAATGTTAATGGTTTTTCGTAGTTAAATGTTTACTGATGTGAAATTACCTCAGATTTCCAAATTTTCTTCTTTATTGGTCTCTTGTGTGTTGGTTTCAGCGAGTTGTCATTGACTTTTAAATTTTTCATGGAATCAAATACATCAAAACATCGCACAACAGATGTAACAGCCGAATTGCTTGTTTTAGTTGCTGTAGCAGGTTTTAAAGTTGGTCTCTGTAGAATTTGAGGAGCTGATAACATTCCTTGGTAACTTCTGTATTCATTAATATTAGATCTCAGTGATTTCAATCGCCTATGAGTGTATTGTTCTCTGAAAAAATAGTCTAATTTTGTATGTTTCAGGTGCAAAGGTGCAAACAAGTCTTTACACCTACTTTCATTTTGATCATATGGCACATTAATCCAAAATCCTCAAATTGTGCTTGTTATTTCGAAATGTGAGATGAAAAGGTTTGTTTACATTCACCGCCTAATACATAAAATCAAATCAGGAGCCTTATACTTACACATTTTTATCGATAGGAAAACCCTGTTTAAACATTCACACAGAATCAAAACGTTTATATCGACAAAATGACTATGATCAACTGGATCGTCGCAGATTCTGACCACTAAAGCAAATTTTTGTTCTTTATGATCATCTAATGGTAACTTGGATTTTCAGTCGTTGATGCGTCGGTTTGATTAAATCCAACGATTGATTCCCACATATACAATGCAATTTATAGCTACGATTTTATTGTGCACCCCAAACAGTCAACTTTTTATGTGGTCTAGGAGCGGTACCCACTTACCACAGACATAAAAAAATATGCAACCACGACTAATTCCAACCCCAGTTGCACCGGGATTCTGACAGTTGCATGTTGACCTGAGGCCCAGTTCACCCTAAAGAGTGCTTGATAGTTTTAATATACAAATGTGTATACAGGTAGGTAGGTAGATGACCAGTTAACGTGTACATACTGTACAGGTATATTAGTATACTGACCTATATTGGTGCATATGATCTTGATATCGATTATGATGAATAAAGTGGAATGGTATTTCAGCAGATCCAGAACAATAAATACTGTTCAAATGGGGTGATAGAAGTCTATGTTCAAAAGATCTACTGCCAACAGAATCAGTTGAGTAAGTTTTCCTACATGCTAAACTGGCAACTGTACTTGTATTCAGTTTTATTCTATCGTCTTTTATAGCATGGAACTCTAATTTAGCAAATGCGGATTGACTTCTCGTCGTTTTAGAAGAACATGATTGTAAATTGCATCCACCATTGGCAGCCATTCTTTCCGTGTGATCTGTAAACCATTTATGAGTATTCTTACAAACTTGCCATCCTCCAAAATCCTATTGGAAAACAGAAAAATAAATCTCACCTCATTGTTTGTGGAATGGGTTAAAACTCAACAATTTGAAAAAGTATCATTATTCTTTATAATTCAAAAGACTGTGTCCTTGAATGGAACTAAATAATGCCATGAATTTTCATCAAAATTTGAAAAATTCTGACTAAACATATGTATATTATATGTGCGCATCAAGGTACATGACTCTACATGACTTATATAGTTCATGTCAAGAATTGTTCTTTCTTAGTGTAAAGGTGTTTACAAAAAAAAATCATATTTTAAGAGAGTTTTTATTTCATTTTTTGATAAAAACCATAATCATTGTTCTTGGCGGAAAGTTAAACGTGGCAAGCCGAGAATGTTATAGAAGAATATAAACTGTCAAAAAATAAAGTTTTATCCACTGTTTTTTCCCGGTTACCCTTAACAAGGAAATAAAGCTAAAGATTTGCATTTATAATCAGATTGAAAAAAAATAATAGAAATATCGATTGCAATGGAAGCCAGTCTATGAATAATTATGTAAATTGAGGGAAGTTCGTTTTTAACAATTTTTAAATGTTTTCTTATTTATAGTCTCATAAGAAAAATACGTAAAAACAGGTAAGGCCAGAGTGAATCATAGTTGCATCATAATATCTTACAATTACTGGTGTATCAATAATCAGAGATGATTTTGGTTCCACACATTCAATATCATTATTTCCATTTCCATCATACAAGTCTCTCAAAGTATTTGTGGCACACATTTCAAACATAGTTTTATACATACATGACATATCATGTGGGTTAATTTTATAGATTAGCCCACGGAATTCGGGTGAATAAGTACAGGCTACTGTCGTTCTTTTATGGCACTTCGACATTCTCAGTTTAAAAAGTTAAACAACCCTGAAAAAATAATAGGATCAAATAAGGCATAAAAATGATAGAAATGTTCAAAACAGTCCGAAAAAGATTTGAATGTATTATGTATATATAGTATATATATTTTTGCAATTCCCACCGCAAATGCTCTTCGTCCGAAAATTATGATGAATTTAATTAGACTCGGCTATTCAGAGCGGCTTGAGAGTTCTATAATAAGAATGACAGTAATACCAGGGCAGGCAGACTGAAAAGTTTAAAATTGAAGGGACTTATACCAAGGAGATGGTTTCATCTTTCATCATTTACACACTTTTTCCAGCGATGCTGCAAATTCTGGATGCTTTGATTTTGATGAAGAACAACTGACAGCTGCAATACCCAGTATGAAAAATTCAAGCATTAGTTATACACTTGTCTGAACTTTTTTGGATGATAATGAACAATTTTACCTAGTTTTGTCAAAAACCAGCAAGAATTATTCCTTCTACTCTGCTTCAAGCTAAAAAGTATTCAAGAACAAAAGTGATAACTCATGGAAAATGAGTTTTAATTTTTTTTTTCATTTATAGGTTTGATCCTTGTGTGGAATTAAACAATTTCACCAAGTTTCGTCATTCTGGTTTTGGAATTATTGCCCTCGGGCTTAAAACGTCAAATTTGTTTATGAGCTCATTAGAATTTTCATTTAATTTTAAACTTAGTGTGATTATTGGAATTTAGGATGATGTAGATTGTTGAAACGTAGTGTGTAATAAAACTAAGGAGTAGTATACCATAAAATTGTGTTCCTTTATTTAATGTGATCTCTACCCCTAAATGTCGCTAAAGGATTAATTTTGCAGTAATGGAGTGTTGAATAGAGTCTGAAGACAGATTGATCATTATTATTCATGTTGCTCGTTACTGAATCTAAAACTTTAACAAATTTAATATAGAAACATTTAATAATGCGTGACAGATATTTCACTGAAAAGTGATGAAACTAAAGAAACAATATTTTCTTTCTATTTGTAATGAATATTTTTTCTGTATAAGTACTTAAGGGGTTAACCCGTCTATACTTATTTAGTTATTTGCCACGCATTTATGCATCGTAACTCTTTTGCCACCAATCTGTTTAAAATCAGATTACAATTTCGTATCTTTTTCGTTTTCGGATATTTTAATCTACATTGTAATCTAGAAATATTATCATAAAACACAACATTAAAAAACATGTTGTTTTTTACTCAGTTTCATGCTACGGGATCTTGAAACAAATGACTGTCTGTTTTAATATTTCTATAATGCTCTACAACTGATGTATTGAGCAATATTTTAACAGTGAAAATATTTGATTTTATTGTAGGCCTATATTGTAGTCTTTAATAGATTTGTCCCGTCCCAAAAATAGTTGGCTATTTCCAATCAATCATTGCGTGTCACGTAAAACCCGTTTCTTAATAAAATAAGGAATTGTAGGATATCAAAACTTAAAGTAGAGCAATATGAGAGTAATTTGATTTTAATAAGATTGATTTGATTTGTATAGTACGTGGTAAATAGTCACTGCCGATGTATTGGTACTTGTTGGTGGTAAAAGTTTGTTGTAATCCGATTGTCGAGATCTCCCTCTTAGGCTCAGAACCTTTCAGAACCCTCATAATAAACCGGTTGATCATAGATATCACGTTATTCATATAATCTATCCATTGAGTTATGCCCTTGTATCGATTCTGGACCACAGAATAGATGATATCCTTTGACTCTATTTACACATTGACATTCATTTGCCAGTAGGTCGGCGTCAGTGGAGTTGGAGTAGGCCTAAATGTGTAGGCTAACACTTTAATCAATATTGAACTGAACTGCCTATTTAATTGAGGATTATTACCTTAAAATAATAGGTGCAACGTAGATATTGCAATAATTCTGATGGAAAGAGTGAGGTGTAGTCAAGGTACCGTTAGATACTTACTCATACTGCTTGCAGGTAACGAGAGCCAAAATGTGCGCTAACGTCAATGATAAATACTTCACAGGTCAATAGAATTTTTTAAATTGAGTGGGGCTGGGACTTAAATTGTGAAATTAATCAAAACTTTTACCTGTCGGTTCATTAGTAAGAATTAAGTCACCCTAATTGGTGCAAATTATATCTGCATCTCTACTCATGTTCCATCCCATTGTTTCTATGTTCTGAACTACGAAGGAAATCAACCTCCATCCGACCGTATAAAGTATGGCTGTTTAAACGAAGTCTGCTTCAAAATAACCATTGTAGTCCGAAGCCACTATCTATATAATATTTATTATAGATCAGTGTCCGAAGCACAGAACTGTTACCCGAAGTTTCAACATTAACTTTTGTAACATTTTGTAATTATAAGCCTATAATATCACCTTTCATCAATATTTTGCTAACACTGTCTTCGCTGTCGCATTCATAGAAAATTCGCGATATAGGGGGCCATTCAAAAATTACGTTACATAACACTTGTTCATACAACCTCCCCTAACACTTTGTTACAGGCAAACGAGATAACATCATCTATTAAAGGGATACTACGTCTTAGAATGAACATAAAATTGAATGAGTTCAATATAAGTATATATTCATCAGTGAACTTACCTGGTGTCATAAAGTTAAAAAAGAATCTTGAAAAAGGCCTAATCTTAATATTAAGCTTTTTTCAATAGTTAATTTTTATGAATAGGCTAAGTACTTAGTTTTTTTTTTGGATTTATCGGATTATATAATGATCCTGTTAATGTGATGAATGAATATATGCTCTTATTGGCCAAGTTTAAAATTTTATGTTCATTCTAAGAGGTAGTATATGTTCCTTTAAGAAATATATGTTAGCGGTCCAAAATCAACGCTTAAACTCTCATAAATCTATATATAAATGAGAAAAGATCTAGGGCTACCAAGTTTCATTCCAATACACGGATAGTTAGGACTCATCATAGATTCAATTTGCACCATTCCAATTTTCAATCAGAAGTCCTGCAATTTCACTAAAACTAAACACTAATCTCAAAATGATATGCCTTATACCACATTTGAGGCCCTTTGTGATTAGTGACGTTATCAAACACTTAGTTTTAGTGGAATGGAAGGAACCACAGGGTGGGGTAGGCCTATTTTTATTCGTCAAGCAATGAAACAATCGGCGAGAATATTAGATGAGAATATGCCCCCTATGTTCGAACGTTTAGTCAGAATTAAAGCGCCATTTTTTGACCAATCATACTTCAGCCTCAGAATTTTTTAGCCAATCTGTAATGATGTTCTACATTTATCAGCTTGAGTAAGCCTCAACGTTAGGTTCGAGATTTCGATATTATAGATGTATACTTTCCGTACAGGCTTACAGTGGAAATATTTATACTTTCCAAAGACCTCCCGTCTGGTCCCTGGATTACGTTCGATTAATTTTTCCACTATAATATAATGAGTGGTTCGACTTTCTTGAGCATATCACTGTGAATAGGCTATGTTTTATTCTGGACTAGTATTTCATTGAGCTGAAAGATCTTTCCGCAGAACATGAGCTTGCGAGATTAAAAGAATCAGGCGTAAGAGTTTTTGCCGTCCGGACTCGCTTTCTCGTAGCCTACATTTCCTGAAAAACAATATTAGTTACTGAATATAGGCCTAGCTGCGCTTGAAGAATCGAATTTCTGACGACAAATTATCTAATCGTTTTTTAGGATCTTCTCTAGTGATTTACAGCGCGAAAACGCTTTTATTTTTTATTTTTTGCTTTATGATTGCAAACGGTCCTAGTGTATGCCTTCACTGTTAAAACTCCAGGTTAGGCCCTAGCCTACAGCTTTGTTACATAGGCCTAATGACGCCGATATTGGTGAAAGATGAGAATAAATGATATTTTGTTGAATATAGCCTTAGAAGTATCATATATAAAAAGCTTAGACTACAACGCAAATCTATCAATTAACTCCTGAAAGATAAAAGTGATAAATATGTGAATATTAGGTTACTTTATTACAGTCGCCAAGAGAGTTTCGAGTTAAATTTTGATTGATATTGAAAATGTGTGCTTCGTGTTCCGAATGTTACGTTACAGACGGAAAGAAACGTTTGGCATGTGCCATAACCCGAACTATGTTTATCACAGCATTCAGCAACTTTCCAAAAGATAAAATAACACTTAATTATGCAATATAATATAACATGCAGTATATTTTCTGTTTGATTTATAAATTTATATTTGAATACTAGCTTTGAATACTAGGCTAAGCACATTATTTTGTTCAAGGTCTCCACATGACTATAAGATAGCACGAGATGTGTGTGACCTCATGAATTATTCATTAAGTTTAGAAGGAGGCTTAGGATCTGTTAGGAAAGGGTTGCACCATGTCGGATCGTGAGAGTGGAGACGAACAACAACAGGCGCAGGCACAAGGCACAGGTTTTTTCTTTTCCTATAACTATTCATTGTTTACCTAGTATAAACTTGTCTACAGTTCAGACGCCCTGCATACAATTTGACAGGTTGTTGCGCAGCCATTACTTCGTGTTGAATTTGACAAGTCCGTGTTTCCATTCGCATCGAGTTCGAGGTTTCGTTTATTATCGTCAGTGTTTATTCCCTATTTTATTCTACTTTATCTATAAATCCCAAAATTAGATGAAATCCCACACGCGTTCTATGCACTAATTGACAGGCCTGTGTAAAGCTGTGTAGGTTATGAGTAAAATAAAATTATTGAAATTTGGATGAGTGCAGTTCTTTGCTGAAACGTCAGGTGGTCAACTGAAATCCAAAATGGCGAATGTATTGTTGAGCTGTTTGCTGTCTACGAATTTTAGTAGCCGAAGTTTACACTGACAAGAATACAAATGCATTATTACTCAGTCACATATCTTTATGCCCCAAAATTTCAACACAGTTGTAAGAAGGATGCAATATGAGTCATTTAAAAAAATACTTGGTTTGACTGCCCTTCACTACACACACTTCACTAGTTCACTTTACTGTGAACGTGTATAGCATTGTAAACTGTACTGTAGTTAGGATAGACATAGTGGTATCCGTTTAGGCTTACTGTAGCCATCCCACAAACTAAGATAGATCATAGTCTTAGGGCAAAAAGAGTATTAACGTACTGTACTAAATAATGCATGAAATAAGCTTATTATATTGAAAATAATCAGCATCAAGTAGAAAGGAACTTTTTCTGACACTGAAAAGGACACCGTCCAACCACTACAATTTCTAAACAGACTTGAAATAAAGCCCTTAATAAGTTGGAGGAAATATGAGACTTGTCGAGGGGCTTATGGATTCAGATTATGCCTATAAGCCAGTTCAGAATATGTGTGCATGTGCAACACAAAACGCTCATTCCTTACTTCCGCCTCAGAATAAACAATGTCTTTTTACTATGGCTAGCGAGGGAAAAGTATATACCGGTAATACAAAGGGTCTATTACATAAACAGTTAAGCAAGTTCAAGGAGTATGTCAATTGTAAGTGTAGTAGATCTAAACCTTTTTTATATGATCCTTTCAATTGCTGGCCCTAGTAAGTTTATCCTGAGGCATGATTAAGAGTATAGATCCAAACTGGCTTATTGGTGACGCAAAAAAAGTTTTATTTTTAGATATTTTCCATTAAGTGCTTTAGTCAAAAATCAATGATTTAAGTTTACCAATATTACAGGAACATCGTTTTGTTACTTTATATTCATATAATGCACGACAAAAATTTGAGAAAAAGGATGCCCCAACAGTAACATCACATCTGACAAGAGTTGTTCCCCTTTTAAACTAAATTACCTTGTCAAAAGGGGTGGTTGGATTCCACGTTTTTATTACTACTGTACAGTATATCGTGGGTGACCGCTTGAAACCTCGTTTATGCCATATTTGGTCATTTTGACTTTTTGGTACCGTTCGAAAGCTCATAAAAGCGCGGATCTTGTGATCAAACCCTCGTATTCTTAGCTTGATTGTAAATAACTTTAAAAGCACTTATTAAATAACACATATATAATAGACAGTCAGATTTAAAACCTCGTAACATATATTATTATGCGAGGTTCAATGTTCCTTTTCTGAATATGAAAATGAAAAACCTTGTATACTGTATTGTTATACGAGTTTTTGGTTCAATTTTGCGTCATATATCGTTATATGAGGTTTCAAGCGGTCACCCAAGATATGGCCTTATTTCAACACAATACCCCTATCCAAAACCTTTATTATTAGGTTCATTGGAAATTACGTCACAAAAGATCAAGCAAATGTTTTCTTACCGTACTGTTGAAAATGTACATCTTTTGGGCTCCAAAAGTGAAATTGATGAAATATTGATTTAAGTGTAAGCTTACATGTATTTTCACCAACACCATGATGTTCCTTTTGCATCCATATGCTTACCTTATTGATTTTTTTGTCTGAAGCATTTAATCGAAAAAAATTCAAAAGACTTTTTACTTTGTTAGTACCGGTACGAAAAATTAATTAATATGGTCATGTCCGAATTATGATGGAATCCCATTTTATAAGTCATAGACAGTAATGGGCGTTGATTGTTTTTAGATTTTATTGTATTTTTTCTGGCTTTGTTACATTATAGTTTTTTCTGGAAAGATTTAATTCTAATTTTTCTACCTCTGCATAAATTGAAAGACAATGAGCTTTGCAGGTTAATGTAAAACTACTTAATGATTTTATGAAAAATATTACAGATTAAATTATATTCAATCATACAGTCTTACCTAACAAAAGTAGACTTGTGCCATTACAATTATCATGAAATTTTATGAGTTTTATGCTCATTGATTATGATTGACTATGAAAATTTCATTTTGTAGTGTACGCTATCCGGTACCTGAAAAATTTGAATTATTAAAGTGAAAGTAGAAAAAAAATTTAACTAAAAAACTTCCAAAAGTAGATACAATTTGTTACAATGATCAATGTATGTTGTTTTATTGCTGAGATCTCGATAAAGCTATTTTGACCGAGAAATAAACTTTTGTGCTGTAATAGATAAGAATGGCTTCCAACAGCTTTGGTGGGTGTATGTTTAATTAAAGGGACAGATGTGCCATTTTTGGGACCAATCATTCTTTAATCTCAGAAACATGATTTTTTTAGCTACGCCAATCAGTAAGTGTTCACAGCTCACCGACTGTGTTTGTTCAGAATTATCTGCATTTGAATGTTAAAATGACGACTCTTCATTTTATGATACTCTTTGATATAGAAAAGTTTGAAGTATTTAAAAGGAATTTTCGTACATTTCTAGTACCAATTTCTGAAGACTACCCAAAATGCAACATCTGCCCCTTTAAACCACTACTACAAAATTTTGCCCAAATCAAATGGAACTTACGTGTTTTTTGTTATGTGTCCTTGGTTTGTTGACAAATGATATCAGTAATCTTGATTTACCTGTGCTTAAATTGCATTGTAAGCTACAGCTGCTATAAATTTTTCTTTGTAAAAGTCTATATTGCATGAAGAATTAATTGTATTTTTGTTTTTAATTTTTTGTTATCACATTATTTCAGATGATCATTCAGATAGTGGAAGTAAGTTTTAAGTTTTGATTTTAGAAATTATGCACTTTTAATTTTATGTGTGGAGTGTGCTTCTCTATTGGCTAATATTTATATTTATGCCCTCAGACCACTCTAATTTAAAATTCAACCAAACTATCATTCTGTTTTTTTATTTTATTAGCTTAACGACAGCCCACTTGAATGTTCGTAAAATTAACCGTTTGAAGTAACCTGATAAACACTGAATCACAAAATACCAGCAATGTAGGAAGTACAAATTTGATTGATTAAAGCAGACATCGAGTTAGTTTGAAAGGTTCATTTGACGAAAGCTGAAGAGGGCTGTCGTTAGACGCTGACTTAAGTGGCTTTATTAAAAATAAAAGCACTGGAATGAAATTTTGATATGTTTGGGTTTAATTTATAGTGTGTGTCAATTTACATGGTACATTTCAATTAAATAGTAATGGAGAGTTGAAATTAACGCTGATTGATAGTGGAATAATTTAAGTGGAGATTTAAACTGGTTATATAACTAAATTTATGAAAATAACCAAATAAAGGAAATCTCTCTTCTGACTCTAATGAAAAACATTAATGGTCAGTTGATTGATATTATCAAAGATAAGCCTTGCAAAACATTGAATTTATGTGTCATGAAGGTCACACTTTTTTGAACATCACTTTTGACAAATCAAAAATTGAGAAATTAATGGCTTGAAAATGGCACACACTCACCTTTTAATGTTTAGTGTAGTATTGTTATTAATTGCAACTCTGTTGGTCTGTCAGATTTTGTTTTAATTTTCACATAATAAAGTATGCTTCTGTAAGCATATAACATTTGGTTTGTGAAAAAAGGAGTGGTTCTTTCATGGAAATGTGGACATGATATTGTCATCCAATCTGTCAGCCCAATTGTAGGATACAATACAGAATGCAGTTCATTTGGTCTTGATCATATTTTACTATGATGGGATGAGCGCTTTTTTAGTTTTGTACCCTTGACTAAGTAGAAAGTCAAGTTTCGAAAGTTGGCATACCTGTATAGATTAATCAGATCTCAGTCATGTTTTTATTTTGCAAATTGTTTTATATCATTGCCAAAATACACGTATGCATTCTATCATGTGAACACAATAGAGGCTACAGTTTTATGCACATTTTTTATGAAACTTGGTTCATTGAGATCTTGGAGAAGTGAAGTTTTTATGACTAATATCAAAATATGTGTAACTGGAAGTGAGAGAAAACAAAGAATTCTTACTGCTGTTTTGGGCAAAAGTAGCCTTACTTGGAATAGAATAATTATGCTTTGGTTAAGGCATTAAGAAAAAAACCTAAAAAGAAGTCATTATTTGAAAGATTGTAACAAATTACAATTATTTCCTTACATAGTCGGACAATATGGACTATTTTTGGATTTATTTTTATAGCCTATCATAAATGGTTGTTATCTTTTATAGGGTCTGTTGAACAGGAATTGGCCACTAGAACACTACACATCCAGTCAAAAAGATTCTACTTGGATGTTAAACAAAACAGACGTGGTCGCTTTATCAAAGTGGCCGAGGTGAGTTCACTTAAATTATATAAATGTTTTGAAAACTGTATAAAAGAAAATAAAAGCATTATGTTTCATGACTTTTATGAAAATTAAGCTAACATATTGCTAAATCTAAATGCTTGAATTGAGATTTTCTGAATTGCAGGTTGGTGCAGGGGGAAAGAAAAGTCGCCTCCTTCTCGCAATGTCATCTGCAGCTGAATTTAGAGATTATTTGACTGATTTTACAGAACATTATGCATCATTGGGTAAGTTTTGTTTTTGTTTATCATTTTGGATATTTTATATTGTTTATCATTTTCATACTTTTAATTCATTCAAAGAACTTTCAATGCATGAATTGTAGTTTTTGGTTTCTTTAATAAAAATCCAGAATTTCAGTTTTGTCTCTGTTTACAAAGGACAGACAACAGGATAAGACAAAATGAATATGCCTCTTTTATCAAGAAAATAGTGCTTATTGAATGATGCATATTCATCTGTTGTTTCAGAAGAGGGCGGAGATAATGAAAGTAAGTCTTCAAAATATCATCATGTATTAACAACAACAATAGTTTCTTCTTTGCTTGCTCTAAAAACCACAATATTGTCTGATAATTCTAAATGTAATCCTTGGTGAATGGATATTTTCTTACATCTCATATAAGACCACTCAACAAATAATCTCTATTATATTTTAGTTCAACGTCAAGTACATCAGAAAGCAAAATATCAGCCATATTCTTATATAAGTTGAAGTAGGAATACAGTCAGCTAATTTGTAGTGTCATTTTTTTAGTTAAAAAATCGGGGTTAGTGCTCATGTTGCCGAGGTGAAATAAAAATTCTATTGCTGAAGATTCAAGATTAAAGCTGATGTTTGAATAAGAGCAGTTTGTGACAATAGTAACGGTGTTTCAAAATTACGTATGTTACGACAAGTAGATACATAGAAAGTTAATGATCTAAATATAAGTTATCGCCCAAATCTCTATAACTAACAGGCTTGAGATAAAAAAAAAGAAGGTCTCCTGGAAGTTTTAGGTTTTAACCAACAATTGAAAATGTTGTGCTTTATTTCATATTGAAAAGTTTGTAGAGAACAATTTGTTTAATTTTATGATGCTTTATTAATGTGTGGCAGCCTTGTGTTTTTACAGATGTTCAGGAAAGTTTCTAATTTTAACAAACATGAGCTGAAGTTGGCCTATCTTGTCCATCCAATCATTATAACGCGTCATGTGCATCCGTCATGCGTTAAAAATCGAAATGATTGGTTTAAGAGGGTACGATTTCATATATGCGGAAGCAGTATCCGTCAAATGGTCTCCGTCATACGTCAAAAATAAAATCGCCGGATGTAGCGATTTTTGATGCATCTGGACGCCTTTCCGCATGGAGATCTCCCAAATGTGACATATTTTGTGGAGATTCCCTGTCTTTTTTATGCACCAAAGCATCCATCTGTCTAGAAGTCCGTGCGTCAAAAGAAAGATAACGCATACATTTAACACACATATGGAATCATATTTGACGCATGACGGATCCGCAAGGGCCATTTATGTCCACATGACGCATCCGCATGACGCATATATGGAATTTAGCTTTAGAGTTTCATTCTGAATATTTTGACATTACTGAAATTGTCTATAAGCGAAAATGTCTAAAACAAGCTAAAGCATTTACAAAACTTTCACAGTGAAAGTGATCTCTCTTTCTGATTTATACATACTCATCAAATTAGGTTATTACTGTGTTTTAGAGGTTTTGCTTGAGATTGTGAAGGATCTGAATGCCAAAGTTTTATGTCCTTAGAAAGAAATCTCTAGATACTAATTATTAGATGCTTGAACAACTGCTATGCCTGATTCAAAATCAGAGTTATTATGGTACTTGACATACCAAGTGTTAAGTTGTCTTATTTGAGATGTTTAAATAAACTATGATAGATAGATTTTTAGTAACCCCTATATCTGTTAGGTGGGGCATGTTGGATTCAATGGCTTAATTTTGTTATGTTTTTTTTTTCTCCGTAAGACTAACTCACCCTATTTTTTTTTATTTTTTTTTTATTTTTTTTTTTTTACAAGAATTGTCCTTCAATAATCTGTGTAATGCATCATTGTATGTTTCCTTGGATGTACTAGTACCATTGATCAAAGTTGAAATTCTGGATTCGGTTCATAGTTTAGAAATTTGTGTAATATTGGCATGGATATTGATTTTATTCTATAATCAGGACAATTCATCATTTTCATAGTTAATCACATTTATTTTATGAGCATGCTTGTTAGTAAATCGTCTGTAAATGTCTGAATTAAAAATTAAAAGGGGTGTGGCTATCTTAATTTTCCCCTTGTCCACATGATAGAGCTAAATTTTAGCTACCATACCACGTTTTAAGAAATAGATTACCACAGGAAACTTAAATTGAGCTCTTTAAGCTGAGAAAATGAAATTGACAATTTATGTATTTTATATACCGTACTGGTAATGGTAATAATGAATTGGATAGATTTTGAAAATTATTAATCAACAAAAATTTTGCACTTAAAGTATTTTCTGTCCGTTTAAGCATCAAAGTACGTCAGGTTTTCTAAAAAAATTTCACCATCTACAACTCTATTGTAGATATTATTATGACTTTACATCCATTTCTTTTATGATTCAACAAACACATAACATGCAAGTTAGACTGCTGTTACTTACTTTATTAACATTCTCATGTATTGATTCTACCCATTGCATGACAGGCTTGGGAATGGAATCAGTCTTGAAATGACGTTCTAAAGCTTCATGGTACATTTTTGTTGAACTATAGAAGAAACTGGTATGTTTGATAATAAATTGTGGAATGGATAGCTGAAATTGAGCTCTATCACGAGGCAAAGCAATCACTTGATACTATAAGCCTTAAAATATTACAATATATCACCAGCATTAGATAAGCTTCTTGATCACTCACTTTAGATTATGTTTGTATATAACAATGAGTGTCATTTCTTCTAATAAATTAACACAATTCCTAGTACCATATGTCACATATATACCTTTTTACTTACCTTTATGTATAGAATAAGGAATTTGATTGTAAATAACACTGTGCTCAATAAATTTGTATTGAATGATTTATGAAATTGTTGTTTTTTTGTTGCTGTAGGTCCTACTAATACAGAAAATCCTCCAGAAGATGGTAAATTAAAAAGTGAGCTGATTGTGAAAGATAACAGGCGCTATTATTTGGATCTTAAAGAAAACCAAAGAGGAAGATTTCTTAGGGTGATTATCATAATCGATTTTTTTGTCCATTCTGTCTGTCCCTCAACATTTCTGTTTGCTAAAACATTTAGATTGAAGATCTTGACTATGTAGACAATATTTTGATAAACTGTTTTGAGTTATTGCCCTTGATTCAGTTAAAACATAACAAAATGTGATCTTAAGCTCAATTGAAGTTGCAATTTTCTTTAGATTTTTGATTGAACATGGTATGATCAATGGAATTGATAAGATCTTGAATGAGTTTGAATTGTGTGTTTAAGTTGAACTCTGACCATTTTTTTTCGTGAACACAATAGAGATCACAATTGAATTGATAAGATCTTTCGAGGAATGGTTTTGAAATTATTGCCCCTGATTAAGTTAAAATTTCTTTGTGAACACAACACAACAGAAACTACAGGGTTCAATTGATTATTGTCTGAGCAAAGTATAGAGTTTTTTGAATTTTTTCGATATTTTTTAGAGAATGGGAATATCAGTCTCAAAATAGTACTGATAGTCTTAGAATGTGTTTGCATTGACAAAAATATAATCTTTTGTAAGTTTATCTTGAAAAGAAAGACATTTCTCTCCTAGAAATGTCAACCCTAAAAGTTTCGACTGAAAATTTTACTCTATAAAAACAAATTTTGAAGACATAATTTCTGCTTATGTTTATATCTTTGCAAAGACATTCTAACACTATCAGAACTATTTTGTGGCTGATATTCCAATTCAATATTAAATTCACACTGCTTTATTGTATCAAAATATCAACAAATTGACCTCTCACAAAGTGTCAAACACAATAATACTGTGAGTGGTGTAAATTAGATTACAAGTATAACTACTAACTACTAATTTTGTAATTGTAAATTAAGTTTATATGCTGAAGATCTGTCCCACGCATGGATTACTATCTAGTTGGTTTTGGTTGGTAATGATTGCTGTTCTTACAAATGTCAAAAACTTAAGCAGAATATCCAGCTTATGTATGATTTATTACTTTCAGGTTTCACAAACTATACCACGTGGAGGTCCTAGGTCCCAAATTGCTATTCCTGCCCAGGGGATGATCGAATTTCGAGATGCCCTTACTGAACTTCTGGACGAATTTGGTACTGATGACCAAGGTATTTCAAATGAATATATTTCAGTAATAGTTAATTTGATGACAGCTGTAGATAATTATAGGCCTTTAACAAACATTATGGCACTTTCGAAATTTTTGTCAGAATTCATTATCAGTTGATTGATAACATCTTTCAAATCGTTAGTGTTGATCTCATCTAATATCCGTTAGGATGTATTTCAAAATGAATCTTTCAAAAAATCCAAAAGCTTATGTGTTTAAAAATGTCTTTGATCCGTATGAGGTTTGATAATTTCCAAATGAAACGTACCTGAAATTGCATCAATCCAGTGAATTAGATGTTTGTCTGTTAGGTCCAAGGGGAAGCTTAAACTTTAAGTCTTGTACTGAGAAATATTTATGACATTTGTCTTGATTTCAGAGCCTCAGAGTGATTTGCCAGAAAGTCGTTCAATGAGAGTTGAAAATAAGATGTTTTATTTTGATGTTGGCTCTAATAGGAGAGGTGTATATATGCGTATTTCAGAGGTAAGTGAAACATTTTCTTGTTATATAGACAATATATATTGTTGACAGGTATGTGTGTCTGTCCAACCATCCACCCATTTAGATTTACCATTTACAAGATTCTACAGTTTTATGCAATTTTGCTAGACTTGGTATAAACATAAAAAGAATTTATAGAATTTTTGTCTCCCAATGAAATTGAAATTTTGAAGTAAATTTTGATTGTACATTAATTTCAGGCAGTAATCTTTCCTTTATAAATTTCAATTGGTTATAACATTTTGGCTGTAGCCCATTTTCTATATTCTAATATTGATTTATATTTGTACATCAAAATGAAATGTGGAACGTATACAATTACCTTTAGATTTTGGTCAACTTGGTGAAATTTGTTTTTAATCTCCGAAGGATGAACATGAAAGTAATGGAAAAATATTTTTTTGAATTATTGCCCTTGCTCTTGAAAACGTATTTAATCTTCTCCTACATAATAATCATATATAGCATTAGATTTTAACTTTGATGTTAAACTTTTTTTTTATAGGTTAGAAATAATTTCCGCACAGCCATTACCATTCCGGAACGTTCATGGGGCAGATTTAGAGACATCCTATCTGAATTTTCTGATAAGTCGGATAAACAAGAGAGGAGTGATCGTAGTGACCGTAGTGATAGAAGTGATCGTAGTGAACGAGCTGAAAGACAAGATAGTCAATAAGCTTGTTTTAACTCTATCAATTTAATGAAAGAATGACAGAGGGAATGTGCTTGGTCTAGATTACTATTGTGTGTGATGATAAACTGAGCTTTGTGATGCACTGAGAACACTTGAAATTTGAAAGAGCATTAAAGCATCTGTGGAGGCTATATACTGATAGGAAACCTAATATGAAGCACTGATAAAGTAAATTAAGAACGTTGAATAAGAATGTTTTGGCTAGTTCGAAAGATTTTACATAAAACTGTGATTCCCACTAAGTGGACAAAAATGAACTTTAGGGGAGAACCTAAAATTATTTCAAAGACATTAATTATAAAATGGCTATCATCATATTTTTTCATCTTTATAAAAGACCATTTATCATATTTATAATAAAAGAAATAATCATATCATCAGCTATATTAGTTCTATAACCAAATTTAAGTAAGCACATTTCCTTTGTCAATTGATGAAAGTAGTTGTTGAAGAGTTCCGGCAGGATTAATGGAGAAATGGTACATGGTGGAAAGTTTAACGTGATTGTTTAATATTGAAGTTCAGTAGTGATACTCTGTTTTTAATAGTATGGTTATGGAGACACAAGGTTTTTAGCTCCTTCAAAAGCCCTATTTTTCTTTTGATTTTTCTGGGCAATTTGTACATTTTGTAAGGATAATGCAAATAATTTTTGCAAGATTATAAATTTCTGAAATAGATGCCCAAATTTAGGTAAAAAACAAAGCTTACATCAGTGTTTAGGAGGCACTGCTTTTAACCTTGTGCTTATATATTGTTGTGTTGTCTTGCAGTGGTATGATATATACGCTGATTATATATATATATTATGTTATATATTCATTGTGTATATGAGAAAGGAAAGTTGTTTTTTAGACACAATAGCATTTGATTGGTCACTATAAAGTAAAAAGAATTGGTCTGAATTGTGTAGGTACCGAATTAGTGTGTGCTTAAACTTCCATCCACATTTACCTCCTCTTCTATTTAAGTATATATTAAAAACTTTGTGGTAGATTTATTAAGGAATATAAAGGGACAATATTATAATTAAAATCGGTCTTGAAGAGGTATCTAAACTTTTTATATGAATCAAGGACACGGATTTCATTGTTTGCTATTTTCAGTCAGATGTTGTGACTCTTGCAATTCCACCTTTACAAAAATTTCATAATAATATCTAAGATTCCATGTGATATTGACATCATAAAACTCATAGTTTTAGTGGAATGGCACGAACCATCGATGTCTGAAAAATGGGAATGGTGCAAATCGATGTTATCGGTGTCCCCGAAACAAAGAGTCTAGAAAATGAAACTTCTTGACAATCTCTTCAAGATAAAATCAACAATGAAAAATGTCAGCGTAAAATCTGTATCTACTTTAACCCATTTATTTAATTCAAATCTTGTTGGTGTAATACTATTTTGTTACGTTTATTTTAATTTTATTTTGTTATGTTTTCACCGGTGATAAACAAACTAAGTCAATTGATTTAATACCACAGGTACTTATAGCGAATTCCTTATAGTTTCAATTTCAATTTATTTTTTTATAATTTGAAAATAGTCAAAAATTCAGATTTAGTGGCCATTCATTTGTTATTGTATTGGTATATTTGAAGGAAATACTAAAACAGTCCCCTAGTTGAACTGTTTTATCAAGCAACTATATGAATATTTATGTTTTGTTGTAATCTTATCAGTTATTTTCACATTTTGTCTCCATATTCCCCACCATTTTTCTACTACATTGAATGACAATCTTTCATTCAATTTTATTTGTAATATCCTTTTCATTAAAGATTTAATGCAATTCTGTCTCTTTTTGAGGTGCAAATTGACGCAAACAATTTTTGTCTTAATATTTTCTTAGTGCTGAACATTTTCTTTGAAGTTTTAGTAGTTAAAAAGTATACTAACCAATTGTTAAATAGAACTCGCAGTGTTTTCTATTGATAAAAGATTATCAGTTGTTAAAAGTCAATACTGTGGGTTCTTCTTGTTGATGTTAAAACTGTTAACTTGGATATTTATAGTTTATTATTGTGATAAGTTTTGACAAAAGCAAACTTTAAGTTTAATCAGATTTTTGCCTTAAAAATGCAAACAAGTAAGATATGCCGGCAAAAAGTGCTGATATTGTTTGTTATATTTCTATTTTAAAATAAAAATGTTATCTTATGAAAGTTACATAGAATTGTAGTGGTGTTTAAAATTATTGAATACTTGTTGCAAATAGGAAAAAGGACTTTAACATATGTTATTTTAACTGTTATCTTTTAAACAATTTAGTTTCTTGGTTATAATTGTTGATTTAATGTAAATTAATAAAAAGTATTTATAAAGATGTTTTTGTGTCATAGTCCAGCAACACCTTTGTATCAACCACAGTACCACCACCATCATCCATGCTAAGCACATTTTCATTAATATTCATAGTGAATAGTTTGAGTTATTGCCCTTTATTTATTTACACTCTAAAAAGGCCCTATTCTAGATGATTAAGACAAAACTTAGTGAGATGTTCATTATCCCCCAAAGATGAAAATCAATTAAGTTTGAATTAATTAAATTTAAAATTAAATATTTGAGTTATATCCCATGTTCTTTAAAAAAAAAAGACCATACAATTTTTAGCTGTTAAGTATGTAGAATGCACAATTAATAGGACACTTAAATTAAACTGAGATTGTTTATAATGAATCCAGAAAAAAAAGCTTATATCCAATTTATAAAAATATAGAAAAATATTTGATAGTTTGCCTTAGGCCCCGTCGTCAGTTGAATTTATTCACCAGTCGTCGAGTCTTTTTCAACAAGTTGAAAACCCTTCTCAAATAATTGTACAATAAAACATGGTGTTCACTCCTTGAAAATTTTAATAAGCATAGCTTTCTGGAAAGTTAAGTTTAAGGGTCCTAAAGAGAAGGAGTCCTTTATAGATTTTAAATCAATCAAGCTTTTATCATGTATGGAATATGTAGTATTAGACTATTAGTGCCATTTTGCATCAAAAATTAAATGGATATCTTTAAAAGTTCAGAACAGTTAGCTGAATACATTCCAGGATGTTCTGCATAATAAATGTAATATATATAATATTATAATATAGTTAATAACTGAATAGCACATTTATTTGCTTAGTTGAAAAAATCAGTCCTATGTTTCAATGTTTTCAAAAAAACCTTGGTTTAAAGTTTGTAAACATTTTAAGAGGACAAATTTGCAAAATTCTTTATTAGGTCTATCATTTAAAGATAAAGATGCACCATTTTTTGACTAATCATACATTAGTCTCAGAAATGGGAATTGTTTAAGCTAAGCCAATCAGTAATAGTGTTCACAGCTCAGCGTCGAAATTTGAGCCTTCAAAGCCATGTTTGTCCAGAATTATCTGCGTTTGAATCTTAAAATAACAACTCTACATTTCAAGATACTCTGTGATATATAGTAAAGACATATATAAATAGAGGTAAAATTCCTAGTTTGAAGTATTTTTAAAGGAATTATGCAATTTTCTTACATTTCAAGTACTTCTGAAGACTATTTGAATATATTCAAGACAACAATTACATTCAGAGATCTTTGGTCAATTCAATTCCTGTTAATTTAAGATTTTCACTCTGTAGTACATAATATTAGTCTTGGTGGGGCCCAAGCTTAGGTTGTGAACTATTTGTTTCAGTTACTTATTTTGGTGCATTTTTTTTCTGGAGGTGGGGGGCCCCTTGGGGTAGTTGAGCTACTGAGATAACTTGTTGTTCAGAACATTAAAGGGATTGTTAAAAGGTTTTTTAATTTTTTATTTGTGTATCAGGGATACTGATAGCATCATTTTGCACCATTCCAATTTTCATTCAAACTGTTCCTGCAATACCACTAAAACTAAGTGTTTGATGACGTCACAAATCGTGAAGAGCCTTACTAAAAAAGCATATTTTGAGATTAGTGATGTCATCAAACACTTAATTTTAGTGGAATTGCAGAAAATTGAAATGGTGCAAATTGATGACAGATGACAGATCATCTAAGTGTCAATCCCGTTCAGACTGACGGTGCTCTGTATAATGACAGTATATGCTCCATATCAAGCATGTCTATTTTCTGTGAGAAGGAAAAAACAAATTCTTGTCTGATGAATGAAATGAATTATTTTATCTTTGATCTTCAGTTTTGATAATCATTAAGCACCCGTCACCGTTTCTCTGCATTTTTTTTCTTCTATAATTTTCTGTGTTTCGTCAATGGATTTAGTTTTATAAATTGTGTTGTAATATATGTAAAGTTATGATGGCGTTGAATAAAATGTAGACGATAGGTACTCAATCTCAAATCAGAAAAAAACGGAAATGACATGGAGTTATACGCCCTGCTATTTTGCATACAGTGTGCAATTAGGGAAATATGCCAGGTCATGGGCACTAGCATACAGGTACTCTTGACAATCAAAATGTAAATTTCATAACAATGATAATTATATTATTTTACCCAGTCATATTTGTTATATTTCCTCTCTGTGCTATTGATATAACATAACAGTTAAAACAATCGTAATAACTTTATTCACATAATTTTTAACAGATAAAATTTTACAATGCAAAAAATCAGCAATGGTGCAATGCTAAATATGCTCATCTTGAAGTGCAATAGGTGGCAATTTAGCTTAAGGTGCAATACTGACTTCTGCTTTAGAAGGACAGCTTACCTTAATAAAGGATGATTTATAAACAGAAAAGCCATTTCAGTGTTATTTTTTAGCATACGATATTTTCATGGCATTGCTAGGTGTAATCTTAAATCCTTGTAAGGCATCTTTAGCGACACCTGCTTGAACTTCAGTTTCAAATTCAACAAATGCAATGTCATGTCTTCCTGGCACTAGACGAACCTCTTTAAAACCAGGGAACCTAGAAAAGAAAATTTAACAAAAATTTTAAGTTTACGACATTAAAAAAAATACACAAAACTTTTTACCAGTTTTAAGTTTACCGAATAGACCAGCAGATTTTTTTATGCTATAGCTATAGCTATTTTCATAAGCTTCAAAAACAAGTCAAGCATTTTATCTCATTGACTGTTTGACTTACAATTACATAACTATTTAACAAATTTATCACATAAATAAAGTAACTCTGGAGATCTTGGCTGGTGTTTTTTTTTTTTTTGAAAATTATATTTATTGAATGAAAAATCAACATCAATGTTAAATATTTTAAATTTTTCTTAAATTTTTAAAGGGTCAAATATAGAGAGGATAAAAGGTAACGAAAATGTTCGCTCCATATTCCAGTGGTCATTTAAACATTACTTACTGGTTAAATAACATTGATAACATCATTTCATTAGTTTCTTCAGGTAAATTAGTTATAAACAAAATTTGATTTGGTGGTTGTTCTGGAATTGCTGTAGATGTGATTGGTGTTGGGGCAGCAGTAGCAGCTGAAAAATAATACAATTTGGTTAATAATCAATAATAAAATCATGATTTCGTTTACACGGTATCAAGCAATTCGATTGGATAACAGCGGCCAGTTGCATTCGGTTTATAACAGTGTAAACAGAATGTAAACATAAGCTCCATCCTTTAACAGACTACTTTTATCATGGAGTTTGATTGACGTGGCCACTACATGGCATCGATGCCATTCCTTCGAACGTCAACAAAGCCGAAATCGACACATCACTGAATGATAAAGCTGTTTTCCAAATTCCGTCAAATGTGCAAATAGCAAAGCCTAATCTCTACCTCAACATGCTCATATGTGTTTTGTTTATGGTAAGGTTAATTTCTTGATGAAAACCATAATGAACATATAGTAGGCCCTATTATATTTAGTCATACATCTACAACTTTAAGATTGTATATTGTTAATAATTGCTTGCAATTTTTTTCAATTTTCATCCAAGGGCAACCTACGCACAGGAAATCATAAAATTAAGACTTATAAACTGTCTCATTTTTTCGTCTTTATTGGCCACATTTAACACAATTTCAGTGTATAAAGTGTTGCAACTCCTTTGGCAAATTGTAACCATTAAGAATATGGGCGTTTAAAAATATATTTCTACCTGGCGTTGTAGCTGGTGGAAAGTGTTGAACAACTGGTGCTTGAGGTACAGCAGTTTGTCTGAAAAGAAATTTATTAATAGATTAGATTATTTCAATTACCCTTATATCCATCTTTTGGTAACTATCATAATTCATATTTTGCTAGAAGTATATAAATATCTTATCTACAAATATTTGTGACAAGCCTTTAATAGCAACTAAAGAATGATGAAAAGTTGAATATGTGCTTAGTAACAGTGGTGGCACCAGCCTTCCAAAACTAGGTACGAATAGGGGGTGACTGACTTAATCAAAATCTTGAATTTATCCTCTCTAGAATGACATTAAAGAACTTCAAGCATGTCAAGGATAATAAGTAGTTAAAATTTGTAACTCTTTAGAAGTTCTATTATCCATACGAGAAATGTGTGTTATCATTTCCATGTTGGTATATTAAAGGTGATAACTCGAATTATACATGCAAAAATACTTGACAAGATAAAGAGTTTTTCTAATCTAATTAATAGAGTCACTGAGCATATTGATTTGCACTATTCCAATTTTGGTCTTGCAATTCCACTAACTCAGGCTTTCTGTAGCACAGACAATTTGAAACGTTGAACAAATGGTGGTAGTGAGTTCTAATCTCAGTCAGCATGTAAAAGTCTGGAGACTTGAATTAGCCATCTTTCCTCATTATTCCAGTTGACCCAGCTATAAATGGGTATGGATAATCTAAGAAAGATCAATGCTAATGGACCAGCTAGTAGAAAGGATCCTTGTGAATTCTGGTAAAATAGCCAGGAAACCTCTTTATAGCCAATTAAACAGTGGAATAAATTCAAACTAACTTGGCTTGTGATTTAGTTTTCTTCTTTCTTGGTTCGTCATCATCTCTCTTTCTTCGAGGTTCTTCAACATATGTTCCTTTCATTTTGGCTATTACATTCGAATCTTTCTTTGAAAAAGATATTCTCTACAATTAAATCACAATGGACATAATAATAATTGTCTTCATTCAGTTTTCAGTTAATGGTACCAACTGTTTAAATCATGAATTGTCAAAGATAGCTTCCAGGCAACTCATATAATTATTTATATTTAAGTCATAATGCATTTGTTATATTACATACAATTTTATGACCATTGGTAGCTTTGTTTATATTAGGACATGAATGAACACCAACCATCATTTGCTATTGTTTCACAATATTTTTATGGTGTTATATAAAATGAAGTAACATGCTGGAATGTCACATGATTGTATAGGCTTACTTGGGTTTTCCACTTAGTCTATTTATAGTATCTTATGCTTTATCTATTTATAGGATCTTATAATGCCATAATATGTATGGTGGCTGATAAGGGACATGTTAAATGATTTTTATGATTTGTTTTTTAAAATAATTTCTGCTTTAATATTCAATCTGAAAATTAAATCTATCAGGACAATATCTATTTTGAAAAGTGATTTTAACAAAATCTCTCTAAATCTACACAAAAAATATGTATTTATACTGGTATTTATACTCATTTTTTAAAATTCAATTGAGTTCATCCCATCACCGTGAGTAATAATTATGACAAAAAACATCAAGAACAGAGTTCATCTTTGAATAATACTAGTTTCTTTAAGAGTGTCTGCGAGGAAATTGAATGTGTTTTGAGGAAAGAGGGCAATAACTCATATTGAATATTTTCATTTTTTTTTAAAACTGATAGGGATTCCTCCCGTAGTAATAATAACCAATTCACTTAGTTTCATCGAAATCTGTCAAAAATTCTGCCTACAAGACTGTTAACTAGCCAAAAATAGAAAGCGTTTTGAAGAACAAGGGCCATAAAAATGTTTGTTCATGTACACATACCAAAATTCATTGATATTAGATAAAGATAGCTTGCCAGGCAAGGTAATATACACCCAATGGCAGCTTTGATTTTGAATAAAAATATTTGGCAGTACAGTGACAATCACCAGTATGAAATATTCAACCTTCTGTCATACATTTCTTTTGAACTCTTTAGGGCGATACTGATTAATACTGAGTATGAGTTATTGCCCTTTTTCTTGAAAAGGTGTTAAAGGCAAATATTCAATCTTCAGCACGGGACTGAAAAACCAAGTTTTGTCCAAATCTAGCTAGAATCATGCTTTTTAGTGCTTAAGAGCTTAATTTGAATGTGTTTTAAAGCACAACGGCAAAGGGTTCATCCTTGGGTCATAACGAACACTTATACCAAATTTTGTCAAAATCCATCAAGAATTGTGTGGAGTGTTTACGAGCAATTGTGGACGGACATGGGTGACGGCAATATACGCCCCCCATTTGAACTTTTTTTTACGAAAATGTTGGGTATTAAAGGATGGTATTTGATGTCAAGTTTTATTATTTATTACACCAAATTGAGTATACATCAAATGAATCACAGTACTACTAGTGGTATTGGTGATCCCATCAAAATCTCTTCTGTGATTGGTAATTGCTGCCTGTTTTTTCTTTTTGGAATCACCCCATTTAATGTGGGCATATAAAAATATTGATAGAAAGATATTTACCATGGGTTTGTCATAAAATGGAAAACCTTGCATCGACCTTAAAGCATTGGCTGCACTATTAATTTCTTTAAATATAACAAAAGCTTGGCCTCTCATTTTTAATGTCTTTAAGGCAACAATATCCAAGATTTGACCAAACTGCGAAAAGATTGCATACAAAGATTTCTTCAGTTCTGTAAAGAAAAATAAATTGGCATCATAGGTTTAGTCATACAAAGTCATGCAATATATTGCCATAAATAACTTTTCATAATAGTTCAAGTAGTTTCATTGTAGATAATTATATAAGCAAACCATATAACCAATGATATTTCATAAGCACAACAGTACAACATTTCATCAAAATCAGTTCACAACCTTAGTCCTTTTCATTAACAATCCAATCCGGTCAAGAATACAGGTTGCCAGGTAATCAACCATTGGTTGAATACATGGCAAATAACTAAGATTCTTCTTTTTCACAGGGATTGATCAATTTTTTTTACATTGAAAAATTATTGTGTTTTAATAAATGTCATTAAAGAGAGAACAGGCTGTTTAATGAACTTCATTTGGTTCTTACTTATATTTTGAATTTTTGTGGTTAAAAAATAAAAGTTGTTAGATTTACTATTCTCTTTTTAATGGTAATGCTGATGAATCATGACTACTAGATAACAGATTGCTTACCATCTTTTTTTATCTTTTCATTTAGATTGTTGATGTAAATGGTATGATTTGGAGCATTCGACATTTTCAGTTCTCTATTTCTGAAAAAGGAGTAAATGTTTCTATAACAATATCACCAATATATAGTGCAGGTTCTCTAACCAGCCATACAAATCACTTGCCAGATTTCTCTTCAATGTTGTAAAGCAATCAGTTGAAAATATTTTAATTTTAGTTTAATATTTTGCAAATTTTGAATTTTCATAGAAATGAAATATGAACTCCAAAATGTCTTTGAGTTCATGAAAATGCAAATCAATGACAATTTTATTAGGTAGGCTACCGGTATTAGGAAAGAACATTCTAAACAAGCTTGGTAAAAATAGTGGCCACTCAGTCATTTATGTATGTTTAAGCTTATATATCGCAAACCATAAAACAATTCATATAATTTAAAATCTACTTTAAATAAAAAGATGTTTCCAACACATTCCAAACAGTTCCAAGTTTCATTCTTTCAGTACCGGTAATATTAAAGGAGTAGTCTAATTTTTCAGTACCTTAGGTTGGAGAAGGTAAGGGTTCAAATTAATGAAAACCTAATTAGGAGAAAGTTGTCCCTTAGCCCATCTGAAAGTTTTAACACCCATATCCTGATACACGGGTTGGTATAGTGATTTATCCAATTTAACCCAACATTAGCTCTGAAAGTTTACTAATCGGCATTGTTTATCCACATTCATAATAGTTCCGAACTGGCTTATTGTGTACTAGCCTACCGTCTTTACTAAGTACTTTACTAGAAATTATTACAGTTTCGTTTACTCTAAAGATTTTAATATTATTATTATTACTCTAAGCCTAAAACCAAAACCAAAATGTTAAAGAATTCAATTGGCAGAAATTTCCTGCGATTTGCTTGTAAGGAAGTGTGTCTATTTCAAATTAAAATCACTGAACCTTTTATTTCTATGGACCCGAAGACATTTTAAGACAAATGGCATAAAGTTGAAAATTTTATTTTGAATATTTATGAAATGAGAGACAAAATTCAATTCAAAGCTCAATGTAGTCAGAGAGTTGTAGCCTGTAAGTGTAAGAGATCCACTGCGGTACTTTCAGGATTCATTTTCGTCATTTTCGAGTTGATAAACAATGCAATTGCAATTCTGTAAACATTAGTTCATACAGTAGGCCCAATTAATAGGAATATATATTTGAAATAAAATTCTAATACTTTTCAAAGCATACAAACTTTAAGGTGCTTTCCGATAGTCCTGTAACAAAAGAATCAAAAATCAAAACCACACTACAACCTTCCAGTTCCGGTCGATATCACGTTGTTTCATAAATAAAGTAGCCGAGTCTAATACATTACAACACTGAGTCAAAACATTAGATTTCATATTTGGACAAATGGAATCCGTACATATTACGAAGTGGGATATAATTTGCACCAAAAAACGAAGTAATATGGGGGGGGGGGGGAGTTAGTTATGAGATATATTTATTTAGCTTCCTTAAACTTGTTTTTGGGTTTGTTAGTTAGCACTTTGGCTTCTTGACCCCTTCACTGGATTTCTTACAAAACTTTGTTTCATGTGTTTCTTGTCTCAGTGCGCATTTAACATTTATTAAATATTCTTTAAAATTATAAATGGATTGGTCCGATAAAATTAGCGAATGATAGGATAGTTCATTAGATTTCCATTAAGCTGGGTCCGAATTTGATATTCTTCCATGTTCAGATAAGATTTCAGTGATGATGAATGCATTGTGGTTTAGCCAACTACATTATTGGTGTGGACTTTCTAGTTTATAACGTTAATAATTCTATACATATATGTAACCATCATAAATGTCCATATTTTGTCCATAAATGTGAAAGTTCTTTTAGCCATTCTACCATTCTGTTTGATTTAAAACACTTTTAGGCCATGTTGGTCAAGATTAATCTGGAATGTCAAACCGGTCTTTTTCAGCATTTTCTTTCTTGTTGCTTGTTCCATTGGATTTTGGAGAAAATATTGTTGATGTTAGTTGTTTTGTACGAGGTGAACAGATATTATGCATATTAATAAATATCAATCAAGTTTACAAGAATATTAGTTGAATTTCTTTCTCAGCTTGGATTATTGGAGCAAACCTAATTTTACTGATTGAACAGCATCTGAATTGACATTATGAGGAAAAAGCACATGTCCAATACACTTCCTTGAGGGACACATTCTGTAGGCCCACCCTTGTCCATGGTGAATAAGTAAAGTTTAATTACTCCAAAAAAATGAGGCGCAACGTCAGCTTTTTAGCGACTAACATGAAAATCACCCGCAGTTTTCTATGGTTGAGGTTGAGCTAAAATGTGAAGTACAAATATTTCTTTCGTTTTTCATTGATCTTGGAAACACTGAAATTGTAATTCCATCATTTGTTCGAAATCTAAACGTCGACAAAATAGGATCAGCCAAATAAAGCTTATCCTACATTCATTAATTTATACCTTTATTTTACATACATAAAATATGATATAATAAGGCCTACTTATATCATTACGCTTAAAAACCATATCATATATTCGAATAAGTGTTTGAATGGTATTTTCTTTTAAAAGCAACGATTTTTAAATAGTCTCGTGTCATCGAGAGGTCACATGGGAATCCATATTGGATGAAACGAGATTTAGCAGAAACTCATATTTACCGAAAAATGGTAAGACTAAATGATTTTATTAATATAATTGCCAAAAATTTGACAAGTTGTAAATTTTGACGGCTTGCAGTAGGAAATAGTCCTAGACCTTCTTGCAGTAGGATCATGATAATTCCAGAAATTATGGTGATTTAGCGGGGAGGTGGGTGTCGGCATCATTATTTTGTCACATGATTTTTCACTGATCTGAAAGAGTAAACATCTGAAAAAAGATGTTTAGCTATTTTATTTATTAAAAACATCAACATCAATATAGATTCTTTTTAAGGCTGACATTTTCCATGATATCTACTGAGGTCATGACAGCAGCTTACACTACTATCTATCACTTTAAGACCTTTGAGACTATCGCTGTGAATGAAAATTAAAAAAATGCCATTAGCCAATTATTACAGTGGTGTAACCTATTTTCGTGGATGTAAGGATTCACAATTCCCTGAAAGAAGCACGATTTTAAAAAAAAAATAGTGACTGACAAAATAAGATACGTAGCATGATTTATTGCTAAAAGTCACTGAAACAACATAAGAATATGGTCCACTTTGTGTTCCATAGAAATTTTCTGCTGACACAGAATCCGCTAGTTGATCACGTGACTTCATTCGTTGAAATACATTCTAGCAGACGACACTTGGAATTCTGATTACTGCTTGGGAATATAAGGAAATTCGGCCGATAAAAAAAATGGTGACGTTTGGACATAACTGACATCCGCCATTTTGTATTTGTCAAAGTATACATAAATACATTTTACCTTGCTTGAAACTACTGAATTCATTCTACTAGCTGATATTGTAGAGAAAACCCATGTTTATTAAAACAAACTAATGCGGAGGTTGCGCAAGGTCGCTCATGTAAATTATTAATCATTTCCGGAAATCCACAAATAATAGGTTTCCACGAAATTAGGTTACTCGACTGTAACAGTGGTGTAACCTATTTTCGTGCATATAAGGATTTAACACCAAATTTCATCAAAGTTAAAAAAATGAAATGTTTTTTTATATCTTAGATGTTTCCTCAGATATTCTACAAAATAATTAAAATTGGTTTGTTTAGATTTTTTTTTATGAATCCTTCACTTTGACCCATATTTCATGAGCAACCAACTCGGCAACAGCCGCAGAATACGTCACCTATTTTCGTGTACAATGTTTGATCTATAAATAAGTCTAGAAAAACACGTTGTATGGATACCGGGTGGTATAATTAACTTCTCTTAGTATTTATCTTTAATATCAATTCATTATAACTAGTGACAATTCCTTCAAAGAACCACGATTTAAAAAAAAAATAGTGACTGACAAAATAAGATACGTAGCGTGATTTATTGCTAAAAGTCACTGAAACAACATAAGAATATGGCCCACATTGTGTTCCATAGAAATTTTCTTCTGACACAGAATCCACTAGTTGATCATGTGACTTCATTCGTTTGACTACATTCTAGCAGACTAGAAAGTGGTGACGTTTGGTAATAAGTGAAATCCGCCAAATGTTTTGTATTTGTCAAAGTATACATTAATACATTTTACCTTGCTTGAAACTACTGGATTCATTCTACTAGCTGATATTGTAGAGATGACACATGTATATCGAAACAAGCAAATGCGAAGGTCAAGCAAGGTCGCACATGTAAATTATTAATCATTTTTGGAAATGAACAAAAAGTAGGTTAGCACGAAATTAGGTTTCTTGACTGTACTATTAGTATTATTAGGTTTATTATGATGTAGGCCTATATTTTAATACCCGTATTATTAATATTAGGATTGGTACTGATACTAGTGAGTAAGTCTTATTTTCTACTGCTATCAGAAAATGAAATGTACAAAAGATATTCATAATTTCATCATGATATGCCTATTACATGATTTGTTGTAACTTCTTCAGTTCTTGACTTTAGGAAATTTTTATATTGGCCTGTTCTGTTTATTATTATATAAGCTTACAAGTATATATACAATATTACAGGTATCGTAAGTCTTGCATGCATTTAACATTAATGATGCAGGCCATTAAATAACCTGTCCTCTAACAAAATTTCCCATGTTGCAGCTTAATGGTTCAACAGTTCTCCCTTGAAGGAGGTGAAGTTATAGAACATAGAAATAGAACATTGCATCCGATTTGTCGCGATTCTTTTTTCTAATCAATGCATTGTGTTAGATCAGACGTCCGGTACAAAATTTGAAATGTGCGGCCCAATTACTGGAGTTATTTCAACCCTTCTCTGTACCCTTACCTATGAAAAGCAAGGAAAGTAATAAAATGCCATATTACTGATTTTAATTGCTGAGCTAGGCCTAGGCACTATTCTTGGAAAAATGATAAAACTCTATTTCTACATCTTTTAATTGATACTGATCTCAGACACAAACAAATAGCTGGGTTTCAGATGATGTTGAATTCCTATGCTACTCGAAGAAACAGCATTTAAATCTGCTGTCAGTCATTTTCTTGCTGACGACATATGCAACATCTGCCTCATAACTTGTTCTTTTCAAGTTTATCATTTCATTTCAGAGTTTCTTTGGGTTTGGACAGAGTGCAGAAGTTGATATAATATTAGATGGCCAAGACTCAAGAAAAACAGCTGAAATAAAAACTGAAGATGGTAAAAAAGAAAGATATTATCTATATTTCGATGGCGAAACTGTGTCAGGCAAGGTCTGTAAATTGATTTTTCTTTAGTTTTAGAAACCAATAATTCAGTAAACACATTATCCTTCAAAAATAAAATTTTATCAATCATTCCTTTGAAGATCTTCTTGATATGCTCATATCTGTCAGTGCAACAACCAACCCAAAAATCACTTTCAACCCAAAAATCACTTTCAATTGGAGATTTTCTGGATCATATAGGTAATTTTTTAAGTTGGAAGCTTATGCATCAGTCTAAAAATCCAGTATGATTAACTGTGCTTCTCGCGACACTTGCTCAGAATTAGCCCTGACATTATGTCAGCTATCTTGGCCATAGCTATTGTATTCAGGAGCTGAGTTGGCGAGGCTAGATAGCCTATATGGACCAAATGACTTCAGGGATGAGGGAAAAAAATTAACTAGGCTATATTAGGCCTCTGGTTTTAGGAGAGAGACAACGATTATCCTATTCTGTGAGACACTTCTTTTCTAGAAATGGATTCCTTTTCCGGGATTACCCATTGAAATTTCCGCATTTTTCTACGTGTATTTAATAATTGATTCTATAATGTATTGAGTACTATTTCAGCAGTGAAGATATTTCAATACTGTAATTTGAAAACCAAAACATAATGTTGTAGTGAAGTTGTTAGTCTATGATTTTGTTAGTATGTCAAGGTCATGTGTCCCACAGGAGCAAGGTCAAAGCTCACAGAAAAGAGCAATCATACCCTGACATTCATATAGGCCGAATATTGTGTCAGAAATGGACTATTTTCCTTTTCAATGACACCAATTAAAGTTCTTTCAGAGGTCGAAAAGATCAAAAGCTCAAGAATTCATATCTCTCCAAGACCCCTGACCCAATTTCAATGAAATTTGGAATTTGAACTTTTTCCATCATTACCAACATTTCCGCTAAGTTTCATCTATATCTGTGATGGTCGAGGTAAAATCTCATTGTTTACTGGACGATTTTACCTGGAATGACCCAAAGATTACGCATATGAGTCTCTGAATCCTGTAAACACTGATTGCCCTAGGTTTGATGGATTGGTGCAAAATCATTTCTATTTGTCTGTGTCAAGTATTTTTTCCATCTGAAAACATCGAAATCCTTGACAACTTGTTTATATTGATTTTCGAAAATCATTATGCATCCCGGGGAATTCAATTCACAGTGCACAATGTCGTGACTCGTGTTTTATCATAATGTCTGAACCAGAACAAGAAATCGAACAACCTATCTCTGGCAGATTCTCTTGTAAATGCATTGCTTGTTATGTCTGTAAACAATAAACATTTCTGAGTTTGGAGATTTTTACCACCTTTTTTTTGCTCAATGTATATGAAACGAATTAACTGAACGTCAAAAAAGGTAGTAAAGATCTAACTTGCTATCTTAATTTCAGGTCAATGTATCGTTAAAGAAAGCAGGAAGTAAATTAGAACATCAAGGAATAAAGATAGAATTTATTGGCCAGATTGGTAAGTGCTTTTTATACACCCACATGGAAATGTGGATATATATTGCCGTCGCCCCTGTCTGTCAGTTCGACGGTCGTCCGTTCACATTTCTTGTAGGGACGATAGAGGCTACGTTCAGTTTTTATCTGATCTTGATGAAACTTGGTTTTCATGTATATATTGATGAGATCTCGGTCAAGTTCGAAATTGGTAATAATCGGATGAACGGTTTCAGAGTTATAGCCCTTGACTTAGGAAAAAACGCATCAAATTTGCCTTGTAGGCACGATAGAGACTACAGTTTTTATCCGATCTTGATGAAACTTGGTATGCATGTATATATTGATGTGATCTCTTGGTCAAGTTCGAAATTGGTAACAATCAGATGATTGGTTTCGGAGTTATTGCCCTTGGCCTAGTAAAAACGAATCAAATCTCAATTGTAGGCACGATAGAAACTACAGTTTTTATCCAACCTAGATGAAACTAGGTATGCATATTGATGAGATCTCACTCGAGTTTGTAATTGGTAGCAATTGGATGAAGGGTTTTGGAGTTATTGTCCTTGACTTAATAAAAACTTGTCAAATTCGACTTGCAGGCTGGATAGAGACTACAGTTGTTATCCAATCTTGAAGAAACTAGATATGCATGTGATCTCAGTCAAGTTAGAAATTGGTGATAATCTGAACTGTTTCAGGGTTTTGCCTTGACTTATGGATGACTTTAAGATTATTTGAAAATGTAACATTAAGCCACTAAAGAATTTTTTTTTCATTCTGACAGCTGGTAGTGGACGTATGTTATCTTGCCTGGCAAGCTATCTTTAATTTATTCATCTGAAAATCTAGTTTTCAAGTGGTTACTTATTTTTAAGACCAGGATGATTTCGGACAATAACAGTTTGCTTCCTAGTTAATCCTTCTCAATTTCTCAGAAATAGGAACAACTAATCAAAATGCTGTAAACTAATGTGTTTAATGTGACAGGAAACCTCATGATGGCATGTTGTTGTCATCAGCACTGGGTATTGATTACCAAATTGTGATGGATTAATGATGACAGACTACTGATCAATAATAATCAAAATGATTTAATTTAAAAACACTACAAATATGAGACTAAAAACATGCCAAATTCTTAATTTCATTGATTATTTTATTATATTCTTGCCTTGATCGGTTATTATAGCTCTCGGTCAAATTATGTGCTGAAAGGAACCTATGAACCTACTTGTTCACAGGTACAGTGGAAAATGTAACTTTGACATAAATTTGATAATCGATAATCAAAATGATAAATTCCTAGCGACGATAATCGATTATTTCGATCATTTTATGTAGCCCTGGTCTTCAAGTTCAAGTCAGACAAGATATATGTGCCCTTTTTATACGCCCACATTGTCGTCGCCCCTGTCCGTCGGTCCGTCCGTCAACATTTCTTGTGAGCACTATAGAGACTACAGTTTTCATTTGATTTTGTTAAAACTTGGTGTGATGCTTTAGATTGATAAGATCTCGGTCAAGTTCGAATTTGACATATTTTTGATGAATGGTTTTTGAGATATTGCCCTTGACTTAGAACGCCTTGAAGTTTGTTAAAAATAGTTCATGAGCAAATGTTCTCAACAAATGTACAGGCCTAGGGCGGAACAGACACTTTATTTAGAAATTAGGATTAAGGGTCTAGATATTGGGTTTTCTTCTGTTCTGATTCTGATCTGAAATTAGAAAAAATAACTCGCCCAATGGGCGAGAAGTATAGTATCTGTCATGTACTGATTGTTTTTAGTTTACTATGAACAATATTATCATTTAAGTTTTTATTTTTTGAATATGCAACTATCATTTTCTGCTTATAAACATGGGGAAATTTCTCTTGAAGGCTCTTATAGTGGGCATGATTGCTTGCTCGATTGCTGGTTGTATTGAACGGGACAACAAAGGGTGCTATACCTACTTTATGGTGAATATTTAGTCCTATAATCCAATGGGCTTCCCTAGATTGACGGAATTTAGTAGTTTCATCTTCGGGCAAGTCAATTTCTATGCGCTCAATTGGGATTAGGGTGAGATCGTCAATTGAATGGTCGTCGAGGTTGAAATGATTAGAAACAGGCTTGTCTTTCTTTAATTTGATATCAGACCTATGGGCATTAAACCGAGTTCGTAGATTATTCTTAGTTTCTCCTACGTATTTTTTGGGGCATTTCTTGCATGAAATTAAATATATTACATTCGAATGTTCGCATGTTAGATGTTCCTGGATCGGGTACCTTTTATTCGTAGAGTTGCTTACAAAATAATGAGTTTCGGATATAAAGGGACAAGTTTTGCATCTACTGGACAAACATGGTGCACTTCTTAAACCTAGAGGTACTTCGGCATAAAGCCTGTTTTTAGCTGCTATCTGTGCTAAGGTGGAATTTTTTAGGTTTCGTAAAAATCGTTTAGAGTAACCACGCTCTTTCAGTTTTGAGAAAACAATCGTACAGGCTTGGTTGAAATCAGAAGATCTTGTGCAAATTCGGTGAAATCGTAGAACTTGTGACTTAATTATACCAGAAAAGGTATGCTTTGGGTGAAAGGAGCTCTTGTGCAAGAGTTGATGAGTATCAGTTTCTTTGAAATACACTTTAATATCCAGTTTATTTGTTTCGGCTATGGAATCTCCCTTAAAGACTGTGGTATCGAGAAAGTCTATGCTTTGATCACTCACGTTTGCAGTTAGTTTGATAGAAGGATGGTAGTTGTTGAGAATTTCAAAGAATTCCCAAAACAGTTCGATAGAATAAGTCCAAACCATAAAAATGTCATCCAAGAAGCGTCCGTAAAAAATTGGGTCAAATGGACAGAGGGGCAACACCTCACGTTCCCACTCTGCCATGAAAAGGTTTGCGTACGAAGGGGCGAATCGTTTGCCCATAGCTGTCCCTGAAGTTTGTAAATATGTTTTACCATTAAATGTGAAATCGTTTCGGCTAAGACAAATCTCTAGAAGCTGTAAAATTGCATCGTCTGGTCTGTTTGGATCTGGGTTTCTATTAAAAGCCGTTAAACCAGTAGAGTTATCGATATTGGTATACATAGAAGAAACGTCGATAGAAATTAAAATAGCATTAGAGGGAACTCGAAGATTTTTTATTTTATTGACAAAATCGGTTGTGTCTTTAAAGTAGGCGCGATGTTGACATGCTAGAGGTAGTAAGAAATGATCAATGTATTCTGACACTGCATATGACTCACTTGTTGTGATCATTGGAATTGATAAGATCTCAGACAAGTTCTAACTTGATCCATTTTTGATGAACGGTTTTTGAGTTAGTGCCCTTGACTTTGTAAAAACCAGTCAAAATTTGTTCGTGAGCACAATAGAAGCTACAGTTTTCAACCGATTCTGATGAAACTTGTTGTGATCATTGGAATTGATAAGATCTCAGACAAGTTCTAACTTGATGCATTTTCGATGAAATGTTTTTGAGTTATTGCCATTAACTTACGAAAAACGCGTCAAAATTTGTTTGTGAGCAGGATTGAAGCTACAGTTTTCAACCAATTTTGATGAAACTTGGTGTGATCATTCGAATTGATAAGATCCCGGACAAGTTCTAACAAGAGATATTTTTGATGAACATTTTTTGAGTTATTGCCCTTGACTTTGTAAACATGCGTTAAAAGTTGTTTTTTGCCCTTGATTAGAGCTGTGTGATTTAATTGTTTGTTGTATTTGGGTTATTGATATTGATTTTAAAAAATTTGGTGGAATTATTCAGCATAAATAATTTCTTCAATATGAGAAAATTCGTACTTTAGTCACTAAAGACTGTTTTATTATTTCTGACAGCTGCCAGTGGGCGTATGTTACCTTGCATCGCAAGCTATCTTTACTTATTTCTATGTACAATAACTTTGTTGTAGATAACTAAATGTTTATTTTTTAGAATTATATTATGATAGAGGTAATCATCATGAGTTCACATCACTTGTTAAAGAATTGGCAAGACCAGGAGAACTGTCTCAAAATACTAGTTATAATTTTGAATTTCAACAAGTAGAAAAACCCTATGAATCCTACACTGGAGCCAATGTTAGATTAAGGTAGGTACATGTGTCTGACAAAAAACAATTTGCAGGCAGGAAAATCTGCGGAATTTTGTGTTTTTATTCACCCACATTCTATTGTGTATATAATAGTCCTGTTAATCTGTTCGTCCATATGTCAACAATTAGATTGTGAACAATACCTTTCATTTACTGTTACATTTTTGTTACAATTTTAAACATACTGACAAATGCCCATGATATACTGAAAATTTATTCCCTCTAATATAATAGAGGTAATACATATCTTTAGGGGTCACTGAACTGTCTACGGCCAAATATTTATATGTTCGCTAAAAACATCTTTCCATTGCTGTTGCCCATGACCCTGTTTATTGTAGACACAATACAGTTTTAAACAGATCTTAATGACACTTGGTATGCATGTACAGTATACTCTGTGTAATCCGACATACTCTGGGTCCGTAAAACAATGTTAATTTAGCAAGTACCTAAAGTTTCAAGATTTTTTAACATGTGCTGTATGTTGCTATATATAGCTCATTGACCCAGATAAGATTCTATTGAACCTTTCCATATCCAGAGAAACATCAGTACTCTTTGGAGGAAAATAAAACATTGTATCAATAATAGCTAATTGTGAAAAAAAAGCGAAATGGTCAAGTTCTATATTTCCATAGTTAGGGTGTAATGAATTACAAGAGTGCCTCTAAAAATGACCCAAGCCATTTGATCTAAAAGCAATGATCTTGATCTTGAAGCAGAATAGACCCTTTTCACATATCAGCAATCTTTTGTTTTTATGTTGGTTTATCAATAATACAATTAAGCAACTATCTAATTGACGATAAGTGATTAAGATGATTAGATGTTGGTTTATACAGATTTTCTGAATGTTGGGACCTTTGATTAGTGTCGTAGTACATATAAAGTTTGTCATATTGTGTTCTTCAGTTAGCATCATACCAATTTTTAATTTGAGTAATAAAGTGAAAAAATAGGCATTTTCATTTTGGTGTCGGATGGAATGATAGAAATGACTATTTTCAATCCATGTGGGTTGAAGGCATATTCTATCAAATTTTACACACTTCATTTAACCTTTTTGTTACACATTGTGAAGCAGTATTGTACAACTCTCAGATTTGTCTTCTTGTGGTATTATTGCTTGAAATTTTGGTGTCGGATGAAAATATAAAAGTGTCGGATGGAAATGAAATATAAAAGTGTCGGATGGAAATGAAATATAAAAGTGTCGGATGGAAATATAAAAGTGTCGGATGGAAATATATGTCAACAACGGTTGTTTTTATCATAAAATATGACTTTAAGCTAAGATAATGAAGGCTACAGTTTGAATTAAGGTGAAGGGGTAAAAGGACTTGAACAATGAGATTCTTTTGACTTTTATTTGGTCTACGACAATTGCTTTGATGGCTTTAAGTAAAGACATTCTTTTCTCACTGATTGATGCAAAATTGTAAAATATCTTGGTTCTTTACCTATTATTTAGAAAATTCAAGACTTTTTATAAACCTTTGGATATTACCAACATAAGATTTTACTTTCTTTACCTATAAAAATTCTTTGGTAGGTCATAAATAACTTTTTTTTTGTTTTGGAAATCATGGTTAATCTGTTGAACAATTTAAGATGAAACTATTTTTGGTCATTTTCCTCTTTTCCCTAAAAGTGCTGTTATGCAAATTTATTGCGTTGTTGAACTGTACAACAAAGTCTTAAATGCCATACAAAATACAAAACTAATGAAAATTATAAGACATTGATATTTGTTTTTGTCTTGTGGGTTTTGGTGTTGGATGGAAATTGTTTTAGTGTCGGATGGAAATTATTTCAAAAAGGCACCAAGGTTTTAAAATTGTCTGTTGAATGATTTGGTGTTTATTAAACTTAAAAACAAATTGAAAATTGATAGTTGGTGAATATTTTACATGCTTAAAATTGTATTAATGCAAGAGAGTGAACTGAACCTTATTGCAGTTGGAAACAAATTTCTGAAATTACACTTCCATTGTGAGTTTTCAAAGAAAAATGTTTGGAAACACAAATTTTTGATATGATAAAGATAACTTAGATATATCTGACGCAAAATGAATTTTATAAAAAAACAATCTTTTGATAAATTTCTTAGCAAGCCACCCTCTAACCATTTCCATCCGACACTAAAACAGTGCCAGACACGTTAAGTAATTTGTCTGTATCTCGGTTGCATGAGATTTTTTTCCTGTAATTTAATTGAAGTTCATAAATCAACATATTCTTCAGTAATAAACAACCAAAATCATGAAAAATGTAGGCATGAAAAATATCAGGAATAGGTGTGACCACTTTTGAAACACTCCCAGATGTTGGATATCACAGAGTAAGCTTTTAGCTTTTTGGTTATTGCTGCATGTTTTTTCTTTTTGGAATCACCACAATTATATTGTGGTCGTCGCCCCTGTCCGTCACAATAAGCTTGTGACCATATTAGAGACAACAGTTATTATCTGATTTGAATGAAATTTGGTGTGATCATTTATATTAATGAAATCTTGGGCAAGTTCGAAATTGACAATCTTTCGATGAAAGGTTTTTGAGTTATTGACTTGTGAAAAACGCGTCAAAATTTGATTGTGAACACAATAGAGACTAAAGTTTTCATCCAATTTAAATGAAATTTGGTGTGAATATTTATAATGATGAGATCTTGGACAAATTTCGAATTTGGCTATCTTTTGATGAATGTTTTTTGAGTTATTGCCCTTGACTCATGAAAAACGTGTCAAAATTTGTTTGTGAACACAATAAAGACTACAGTTTTCATCCAATTTATATGAAATTTGGTGTGAATATTTATAATAATGAGAACTTGGACAAATTCGAATTTGGCTATCTTTCGATGATTAGTTTTTGAGTTATTGCCCTTGACTTGAAAACGCGTCAAAATGTGTTTGTGAACACAATAGAGATTACAGTTTTCATCCGATTTAAATGAAATTTGTTATGATCATTTATAATGATGAGATCTTGGTCAAAATTGAATTTGACAATTTTTCGATCAACAGAATTTGAGTTATTGCCCATGACATAGTATAAACGCATACAATTTTGTTGGCGATAGAGGTAACAGTTTATGTCAGAATTTTAGGAAATAATGTGTGTTTGTTTAAATCAATAATATCTTGCACAAATTAGATTTTTGGTATGATTTGACACAGATTGGTGACTGAAAATGTATCAGGAAAGGGAGTGTATCTTGCTAGAAAACCACTTGTTAGGTATTGCCTTGACTTAAAAAATATCTTTAAGATTATGTGAAAATTCATTTTCAAGACTTTATGTCTGACAAGTGGTGGCAGTATGTTATATTGCCAGGCAAACTATCATGGTTATAGCTAATGATTTAGAAAAATTTTGTAGAAAATCTCTGCGTAACTACCAGTAAATTGAAGACATTAATAAAATTAAAGTTTTTGAATTCAACTGTATTAAGAAGATCTTTAATAAGATAAAATTGGTATTATTATGGTGATCTTTGATATGAGGAAATTTGTAATTTAGTCAAGAAATATTTTATCATTTCTGACAGCAGCTATACATTACCTTGCCTGGCAAGCTATCTTTATAGTACTTTCTTATATTTTAGATACTTTTTACGAGTTACTATAGTGAAAAGACTAAGTGATGTGGTGAAAGAACAAGATATAGTAGTTCACACACTATCACATTATCCAGAAATGAACAATAGTATTAAAATGGAAGTAGGAATAGAAGATTGTTTACATATAGAATTTGAATATAATAAATCAAAGTAAGTATTAATCATCTTCCAGACATTTGTCAACAGTTTCACTCACAGAAGCCTTGAAATAAATGCTGGTTGCAGTGGCGGTGCGATTTGTGGTTCTGGGGGACATTATCCCCCCTAGAAAAATGGTTTGCACCCGCAATTGTACCTCCACTTTACAATATTCTTAACAAATTAAAAAATTTATATACGTTTTTGCCCTATAGTATGTGTCAAATTGCACCAAATCAAGAAAATCTTCTTGGGAGAGCCCTCTGAGATGCTCCATCGTAATCTTGCTACAAGATACCTCCAAAGTATTGATGCATATTGAATTCAGCCTCAAAAGTTGTCCCCCCTTTGAGTCAGTTTGTCAGTCAGACTGATTTTTGTTGGTGGAATAAATTTTGTGCTCAAATTTGTGAAAACTATATGCGCCAATTTCTTGAGAAATGGGTCTTTTCACATATCTGGATGTTTTAACTCAAAAATACAGCCATTAATTTTATAACACCAAAACTATTTAAAAAGGTTGTAATTTTTTTATAAACTTTTTAACTTCATTATGCTTTGTGGAAGCTGTTAGAAAACTACTTTACAGCTTTAAGTAAAAAAAAATAGAAGAGAAATATGTCTCCTACGTATACTAAATGGTTTTGACTAGCCAAACATCAGGGCTGGGAGCTATTGGTTCAAGTTGATATATATCGCAATATTTTGTTAAGTATAGTGTACTGGTTTTTGATACAAAATGTTGTCTTTCTTTCTCAAAATTTTAAATAAGTTAATCTTAAGAACACCCCAGTATTGAATATCATGAAAAATGATGATATATCATGATACAGCGATATTTCAGTATAATCAGGCGATATCACTAACAAATATAAGTTCCTATACCAGTATTTATCATGAAACCTAAAACTAGGTCAAACTTCTGCTTAATTAACAATTAGTACTCTCTGTTTTTAATAAACCCTTTTAAAACAAATTCTGTTTGATCAAGTAGATACATAGATGTTAAAAGCATAATTTAATGATATGTTCAGGTACAATTTACGATGTTTTCAGATACATTAACAGGCACATTTCTGTAGATTTTGGGTTCACAAAATTGAGCAAAAAATGTTTTCACCTAACAAAAAAAAAGCGGAATGTCCCTTTAAAAAAAAATCTGTGTTACTAAAATACCAGTTTTAATAAAAAATGATAGTCTTTCTTGAAGTACTTTTAATTGTATAGTCAAAACTTGATTTTGCACCTCAGTAGTAAAGAACTGATTGGATCATATGCTGGAAAATAACTAGTCAGACACAAGTCAGTTTCTGAGTTGGCTACCCTAAACGAACACAAACATGAATATTGCTATGTATACACACAAAGTAAACAGTGTAAACCAGTCTTGTACAATTTAACTTCAACAGTTTAAAAGATGCAAAAAGGTGATATAAGTTTACAATATATAATACAGAATTTAGAAGAGAATAGAAGAAACAAGTTGTGTCTGCATAGTGTAAAATAAAAGTGAATTCAAATGTTACTGGTTTAGAAACACTGTGCGCAGACACAATTTATTTATTGTATTTTCTATTGTTTCGAGGGTTCTGTAGGACAGTTGGTCAGACACGTGGAAACTTTACATCACGTCATTTGTGGAACAAATGTTGGTTGTGCAAAGTTTCGAAATGATTGAATAGCATCTTGTGATTATTATTTTATGCAGCCACATGAAAATGTGAATTGTATATTGGCATCACCCTTGTCCCTTTACTTGTAAACACTCTACAGGACACATTTCTTGACAGATATTATTAAAAATTGGTGAAACTGTTTTTCGAAACAATAGTTAATTGATTTAATTTTTGATTTATTTTTTTATGCTATAGAAAGAGAATTGTTATTATCAACTCAACTTAAGGATGAATCCTTTTGGAAAACAATTGGAAAATGTGATATAAGTTTTTCCCTTGTTGAATTTCTAGCTCATAAACACTCTTAAAGAATTAAGATGAAACTTGGTGAAGTAACTTATTATCACACCCCTATTTTAAAAATTCTGAAATTATTTTATCAGGTTTTGCTTTTGTTATTTAAAGCATGTGTAATTTTTCATTGTAAACACCTCAGAAGTCTTAGTTCTGAACAAATTTGCTGTAATAAGTGAATCAAAATTTTTTGAGCTTGTAATCATCAATCTTTTAACTTTTTGGTATAAATCTTCATTATTTAAACTGTATGTTGATTTTTTGCTGATGAACATTCATGAAGCATTAGTTCTAGAACATTGATTAGATACTGGTGATAGTGGCTTTCTGCCAAATTTCCAAAATATAAACAAAGCTTCCAGTGGGTGTATATAGCCTTGCCTGGCAAGCTGAATTTTTGGGAATTTGTTCACTTATAGATTATAACACTAGATAAAACATAATCTTAAAGGGACGGATGTGCAATTTTTTTTTACCAGTCAATCAGCCAATCAGTAATAGTGTTCACAGATGAATGTAGAAATTTGAGCCTTCAAATCCATGCGTGTCAAGAATTATCTGCGTTTGAATGTTAAAATGACGACTTGACATTTTAAGATACTCTCGAAAAGACATGTTTATGTATATACATATAGAAATAGGGAGTAAAATCCATAGTTTGTAGTATTTTGAAAGGAATTATGTGATTTTGTAGATTTATTAACAGACCATTGAAATATATTTAAGACCAAAATCATCTGTCCCTTTTACATCAAAATAGAATTGTGAAGGTATACTGTTCTGTCATTCATCTTTTCACTATTGTCTTGTGAGTGTAGTTTTATTGAAACTATATATATGTAGGTTGGTAAGATCTTGGACAAGATTTTTAATCACATATGTTTGCTTTAAGGCTTTTTGTGTGTCAAGATTTATAAAGCTGGGCTCAATTTAAGAATAGGTACCATCTTGCTAATACCAATGAACTTTTGGAGCTTTATTTTAATTGATTTTCATAAAACTTGGATGATCACAATAATGTTCAAGTATATTGGGCAAATGATTTAATTATCAAATTTTTAAAACTGTTTACCACCATGAACCATCAGAATATAAAATGCTATAACTTTTCTATGTTTCTATATACCCACATTGAAATGTGTGAATCAAAAACTGATTGTTTTCTTTTGATTTAGTGTTGATTGAATTTCATACTTGTCTCTAAAATACTCTATGCGTTAGATGCCATCTTTGCTGACATTTCATGCTTTTTTTTCTGAGTTAGAATTCTTGTGCACATATTGGATACTATATGTGGCTGTGTTTGCAAAATCAAGCAAGCAATATTTTAATAGAAATAATTCAGTTTTTGCATAGATAGGCTTTACTAAAGGTAATGGACAATGTGTGGATATCTAAAGTGCCCTCCTGAATTTTAGTAAGATTTTGAAAAGGCTATATCATCACTATTTTTGAACATGCTATGAATGTTTAATGAATTTTCTTTAAAACATAACAATTTTTATTGTCTGGGTCTATGCTTTTGTTCTGCATATTTTGTTATTGTTGCAAAAAAAAAAAAGATTAATTTGTTATTACAACAGACCTTGTGCTCATCATCCCCGTTTTTGTTTTTTTTTTTTTTACTCTAAATTGCAGCATTAATTACATTTACCACAAATTATGATGCATAATTATTATATTTTGAGGTATCATTTGAAAGATGTTATAGTGGGTAAAATCTACTTTCTACTTGTAAGAATAAAGATACGCTACATGGAATTAGCTATTGTTAGACGAGAAATAACCGGTGCAGGTCGGTTAACCCACTAATCTACTAGTCAATGTAGTCAAAATTCTTTCTTTTTTTGCATGGATTTTATTTATTTCATATGATGGTACAAGCTGAATATTTGTTAGTTTAGCTTGGACTAGATCATGTAATTTTTACATTTAACATTAGTAGTCTTTTTATGCACTTACATGTAATGTGGAGCGTATATTTTTGTCACCTACGTCCGTGTTCATGCTTGTTGAGACTCAAGAGAAATATTTTCTTGTCATATTTGATGAAACTTGGTGAAATTGTTTATTATCACACAAAGATGAACTGTGTAAAAAATCAAAACAGAAAACCAAAACCAAACCAATCATCCCTTGAAAAAAGATATTTAGATATTTCTATAATTATATCTTCAATTCCTAATATAATCAAAGCTGTATATGTGAGCATATTTTACTTTTCCTGACAAGTTAGATCTATAGTCTTTTTTGTATTTTTAGTGAATGAGAAATTTTATTTTTTCATTTTTACCAAAGAATTATGCTTATTTTAAGTTGATTTTATTTTTTCTTTCTCTTTTCTTTATTTTTTTCTTTAGGTATCATTTAAAAGATGTTATAGTGGGGAAGATATATTTTCTACTTGTGCGAATCAAAATCAAGCATATGGAGATTCAAATAATAAAACGAGAAACAACAGGCTCAGGTAGTGGGTTGCTTGTCCTTCATTTCTCCCACTTGCCCTGTATTTGCAATTAGTCTTACGAGCTGATAGAACTTAAAAACCTGTTTCAGTTTTCAGAATGAAATTCTTTACTGTTGTTTGACAAGCAATGATAAAAATGCATACAATGCAATAAATTTTTATACTATTGTTCATTAAAGCAAATTTTTTTTTATATGTCCACATGAAAAATTGGCATTGTAAATTGGCATCTGATATTTTCATTATACCTGGCTTTATCGATTTTATTACAATAACAGTTGTGGTATATGTACTTTCAACAAGATTATAAGCCACTAGTTGTTATATCAGTATAATATAAACTGTATGAACTGTTATAAATATAATAAGATAGCAGAAATATCCTGGGAATAACAATATATATAATAGGCCTTTTTTTAAGCAAATTGTATCGACATAGATCAAAGTGTGGATTTATACAAGCGAAGCGTCTTCAAGGATTTGCCTACAATACACATTTATTTTAGCGATTTGTCAAAGCACTTATCCAAATCGACCAAATCGTGGCTCATAGTGCCTTGGTACGATTTTTTTGAGATTCAAGATGGCGGGACATAGATAGTAAAAACATTTTGAGAACACGTTCTAAGATTAGAATAAAGTCAAATATATTATTTTTACCAGAGTTCGAAATATTTGTAAAACAAAGAGAAAGACCTGAAGAAAAATATATTCCTTTGAGAGATTCAACTGTTCAATTATCAGTGTATTAGGATTATTGGGAAGTAAACAAGTAGCTTTGCAATTGTTATGCAGATGACCATTTTTGAAAGGCAATTTAAATTGTATCACATGCTGATAATTGGTGGTCAAAGCAAGTTGATGAGATTTGCTTCAATAAAAACGCCTTTTGGTTATCAAAATTGATCGTGTGTCATATTCTTATCACGACCTTATTTCCGTTTTACCGATCTGATTGGTCAATCTCGCCAATTGATACCCAATCTCACTTAGTTTAATACTTTTTATTAAGACCATGTTAAAAACCATATTTGGGATACAATACTTATGAGATTGAAATTAAGTTCTATCAGCTAGTTGACTAAATCCTTATGAAAATTGTATGATGTTATAAGGCAATTTTATTTGTCCAATATCCCTAAGAACAGAAAATATTTTTGGGATTGTCTCACCTGTCCTGGGTGGAAATAAACCTGAAATGCTACATGAAAATATATTAAGATGTCTTAAGTTATGCCTTGCATGATGCTATTTTTGAAGACTATGCATTTATTTATTGTCATTCATGCATGACTCTTTTTTGTGTCATATTTATTTTTAATCAATTGGTATGTAAGGTATCATATCAGATATCTTTTTTTATGTCAATTTATATTGTTGAGTTGACACTCATGTCCATGTCCATCTGTTCGTTTGTGTAGTGTCTTCTCTCATATCCATCAATAAATCCATAATTTTTTGTAAATAGTGTGAAAGACACAATTCTCAAAGATTTTTTAAAAAAAGGCATTGCCATAATAACTGAATTATTTTAATTGATGTTTCTCATCAACTAAATGGATGTGGACTGTTCACTTGCTCAAGATTTTAAGCAACCGGTCCCAGCCATATTTCGTTATAGGCAGACTGGATGATAGTGACTAAAAAACATGTAGGTGAGAACAATAGAGACTACAGTTTTCAGATTATTGAATGATCAGTTTTTGAGTTATTGCCCTTGACTAAGTAAAGACTATTTAAGTAAAGACAGTTATTTATTAAAGAGATCTCAAAAATATTGCCTTTGGCTTCAACATAGAAGCTAGAGTTTATATCTTAACTTGATGAAACTTGGTGTGCAAATTTGATAATGAAAATGATAATCTTTAGATTAAATTTGAAAGAAATGTGTATGTTGATGATAATTTAATATATTGTTTATGTTTATAAAATATCTAAACAGATTTAAGACATAAGAGCAGTATGATGTGATAAATGATTTTAAAAGATTTTAGATGGAAACTCCTCAAATATAATGGACAGTAAATTGATGGTTTAAGAACTACAAATGCATTATGAAGTTGACATTCTTAAACATGAGAATATTTATATTTTAGTCTGTAAAGACTCTGTTATTATTTCTGACAGCTGCCAGTGGGCATATGTTACTTTTCCTGGCAAGCTTTCTCTGAGTTACCGTAGTTAACTGAACATGATGCTTGTTAAATAAGCCAGACAAGCTAAGATTAAGCTTCCTGTGCTTAATTGATGTTCAAAATGTAGGGGTGGGTTAGTTATTATCATATACACAGAGAGTTTTAAGTGTTGCGTTAATGTTATATTGTTGACATTGAGACCGTTTAATTTTTAGTGAAATTCTGAAGCTAATCTAGATGAAACTTTAAAAAGTTTTTGTTTACATCAAAAAGATTCTCAATTATATTATTAAATTTATGCATATACAAACAAATACGATGAATTTAAGAATTTGATAGCATTATATAAAATAAACTGATAATGACTGACTATAACGATAATATTACAGGCCTAAACAACAAAGTTTTCGTGTTTGAGATGTATTTTGAAATCTGATTTATTTTCTATGCCACAGGTCCTAATACATTTAATGAAAATGAGACAATAGCTAAATATGAAATAATGGATGGAGCTCCTGTCAGAGGTAAGACTTGCCATATTGATATCTTATATTGAGTCAGCAATACAGAAACAGGCCCAACTTTTTCTTAACTTATGTTTCAAATCATGCTTCATTTATGCAGTAAAACTTAACCCTTTGGACTCTGGATTATTTAAATTTTCATCCATGCACAGGGCAGATTAACATTATTGATTGGGAGTAATGGCAATAACTTCAAAGATGGAGATAAATGTCTAAAACTAACAGTATGCCTTTTCAAATTAACTTTTAATGCACCCATTTCTTCTAAACATTCTAGAAGCTACAGTATTCATCTGATTTTTTAGTTCAAATTTGACAAATTTTCAACAAAAAATTATTTACTTTTTGACCATGACTTTGTGAAAACGAATAAAAATTTGCATTAGCATGCTTATGTAGATTGATAACACCCCTGGACAAGTTTGAAATGGATTGGGCTTCCATAAACAGTTATGATTTAGCAAAAACATTTGAAATTTATTATGCTTACTTTAGGCCGGTGCACATTCACTGATCTTTTGACGCAACATTATATAAATTTTCGACAGCGTCAAATTATCGGGATGTACAGTCAACACACATATACCGTTTTTTTTATGGTGCCTCGGTCAGCTTGCCGACAAGGCATAGCAGGACGTCTTTCGATCAAACATACTGGATATCTCCTGATAACTCCCCAAGTTTGTCGTAGGGCTTTCTTAGACCAACACACATTGGCCGATTTTTCAATAGTAATAATAATATGGTAATAAATCATTAGATTTGTACAACTAATCTTGAGTTTACAATACACAGTTTAAGGTCACAATAATTAATATATTATTAAATTGCACCCCTCAGTTTATCTTTTGTTGATAAACCATGGCCACCTGATATTTATAGGCAAAAATAATATTTAGAATCATAAATTAATAAAAGTTTTTTTCAAATGTATTTTCAGGAGAATCAATACCAATTCGACTATTTTTAAGTGGTTATGAATTAACACCGACCATGAGGGATATCAATAAAAAGTTTTCAGTACGCTATTATTTAAATTTGGTGCTAGTAGATGAAGAAGAAAGGCGGTATTTTAAACAACAAGTAGGTTTTTTTAAACCATCAGTCACATTTAACTTGACTTCAACCACATTTCTTATTAACACATCCAAAATTATCAGCCTTTGAAAGTTGCATTGATAACTCATCCTTTCCAGAGACTATTTGTAAATTAAGTCCATTCTGCTAGAACATGCTTTGCATTCAAATTAGTGTACCAGGTAAATATCATGTAATCTTATTGGCCAAGGTTGCAAATTTGAATTTTATGTTAATTATAAGAGATAGTGTTCCTTTAAGAATTTTTGAAGTAATGCAATTGAAGACTGATCAATCAATCAATCAATTTTTTTCAGGAGATAACAATATTTCGTAGATCCGACAAAAACAGAAAAACATACCAAGCTACTGCTCATCACAATGCAACAAGAGATAGAAAACCAGAGGAGAATTCTGTTGAGGAAGAAAAATGAATTCTGTAAAAAATTTTGACAATATAAAATCAGTATGAATATTGTGAGAATTATTACTATTGTGATACAAGTGTGAGTTAAGTTATTAAAAAAGAAATAGATAGAGAGTAACTGTTAAATAATATTAAATGTAGATATACCATCATGTATATATACTGATATATGTGTATATATATATTGCTAAAAATAAACAAACTGACATAATCCATATTATGCTAGTCTTTTATTTTGCAGTAGGGAAAACTGACATGTTTCTATATGACAAAGTCCTTTTTTTTTTTTTTAATTAATGATCATACAATCACAATACAATCATAGTTTTATATAAGATCACATTTAGAATTTTGTTTAATTCTGCTGTTACACAAGAGCATCAATCGTGCAATAATACTAACTGGATCCGGATGTATCATTTTGGAATTGGAGTATTTTACTGAAAATGTTAAAAGTCTTCATCGTGATTTATGAAATAGTCTTGTATCGATGGAAAAGAGTATACTGAGCTTAATGTTAGTTAAATGAAATGTAAAAAAATAGTATGATTTGAGATTGCTGTTGTGGTTGAGAATACTACATTCACATTGTTAAAATACCAAATAGCTTACTAGATTCAGTCTAATTTAAATTAGTCCTAACTTTCATTCAGTTTATATTAGCTTTTATCTTTATGTAACCACTCCAGTTAAGGTCTTAAGAATCCGCACTTGTTATTTCATATCAATAACCTTTCAGTGGACTTGATAAGCTAGTCTAATGCTTCTGGGAATACACTTATACAAAATCCCAGCGTTTTGGAGGGGGGGGGGGGGGAGAAACTTGATTGGCTGTCAGTGTCATAAAAGGGAAGACTGTCCAAAGCGGTGCTAAAAAATATTTTAATATAGTTTAGTTTGTTGACTATTTTTGGCCTACCGAGTACAAGAATATTCCACTACTGTGATGACTGACTGGCACTTGGATATTTGGTTGGTGACTAAAGTGAAAGTACTTGGTAGCTTTTCAAACATAAGACAAATATCAACATAATTAGATATTTAATTTATCAGACCAAGACAATAAACATCTTGATTATTTCTAATTTGATATTTACCTTCCATGTCAGGAATCATGAGATTTGGTCTCCAGGGTGTCATTATCTAAAATAGTAAATGTTAAGGTAATTAATGAGATATCACAGGTATGGGTATATAAATAAATAGTCTTTATATTGGAAATGATGCAAGTATTTAACAATTATAAATATTTATGTAACAAACACAATTACCTTCCACTTGGTTTAATGGTAGGATTGTTTCAAATCTCATACAAGAATGTGTGTAAGAGATTGGAAACTGAACACTTATAAGCTTAAGTTCTGATTTAGGTTATTATGTTATTTCATTTGGTTGAGGTGATATTGAATGAATATGGACATAAGAACATTTGAATGTTGTTGTTTTTTAGTTAATGTTATAGACTTGCAGTAAACTTGTTATTGCAAAAGAAGCTCATGTAATGTTGATTGTATATTATCACCCATGTACATTAGTTGGTTCCTCCATTATTGCTCATAAGCACTTCCAGAGACGTATTTCTTGATAGATTTTGATGATATGGGGAAGTTGTTTCTAATCATCCAAAGAAAAAAAATATTGAAAAGTGGTGTTCAATTTTTAGCTGTAAGGATTATCATGTAGGTGAAAAACTCTATCAAAATTCTATGGCACTTGTCCATAGAAACATGTTTGATTTTTAAGTTACCTTCAGAAGGAACAATCCCAGAATTTTTTTTTTGAAATTGTTTATATTATGAAAATGAAAAAATAACAAAAAAAAAAACATGACACTCGGTTCTACACAATAGAAACATGTTTTATCACAAGAATTGTGACACATAATGCTGGTGATGGTTGAAAATGTCTTAATTAAAACAAGCTGCCAGTGAGTGTACATTACCTTTCTTAGCAAGCAAGTTGATTGACAAAAAAAAAATGAAAATTTTTATGACAATAATTTAATGAATTTTCTTTGTTAACAGACATTTAACTCATCATGTAAGCATCATAGAGGCAAGAGTAGTCAATTGTAGATAATATTGCAACTAGCATTCCTAAAATATTGTATTGCCTTGGATTAAATAAAAAAATTACAGGGGTTACATGTCTATTTTACTTCATGGATAAATTATACTTACTTTTGCGTTGTATGACTCTATGTGTGCAGACTTAAAAGATTTAGACTGTAATCTGCTTGTATTAAAAAACATCTCATGGGTGAGAACAGAACTCCAATATACTCAATTACTCATTGTACTAACAATGAATTGTAAACAGTTGTTCATGTAATACATGTATATGCATATTAATATGAATATAATTGTTGAAAATTGTTGTAAATGATGAAAACCATCTGTATAAAGAAAGTTTTTGTTTATTCTATATATGTATATTGTTAATTATTGTATAAATTTTTTTATTATAAAGGTATTTTAATTAGAATCACTAATTATATTATGTATCACCTTTATTTTAGAACATACTGGTATTTCATGAAATATGTACATAAGACCAAATAGCACAAAATGAAACTGTTCTTCTGTTTTGGTTTTTCTTTTTAGTGTACACTTGCATAGTAAAAAGACATAATCGCTGTAATAGTTTTTGTAACCAAGTACTACTTTAAGAGGTCCAATATTAAAATGAAAACGTACATTGTTTTTGCCCCTGTGTTTCTGTGTGCATTTGCTCAAGAACCAATGTTGTATAGTATAGTTTTGATCAGATTGTAGACGAGAAACTTATGACCACAATCCAGAGAGAGGAAATAAGGATGAGTGAGTGAAGAAAGGAAGAGTTCATTCAGTTAATATTGAAATCTGGACTAAAAGGGTGTGTGACTAGTGTGTTAGTGAAACATAATTATAGCTGGCTAAATTCACAATTGAAATATTGACTTTATTATATATTCCCCCCTTTTACTATTGAATACACTAAGTATTAAATACTTCAGTACAATAATTACTTGCACAGGATGGGTAACATCTCTAACCACTCGCAATCTGCTGGTCGATTGCCCAAAGTGGGTCTTCCTTTGATCGAAAAATTAGTTAGTTAATGAGACACGACATACTCACCACTTTAAACCCATTCTGGAGGCTGTATTGAACGAGTGGTCGTTCTTCAGATTCAGCTGGTGGTCCCTGTTGGCTTGGTTGTTTTTCTGGCGCAGTGATCTTTGTTGGCAGCTCTGGAACAGTACCCATTGGAAGTAAATGATTTCTGTGTAAAGTTCTTTTCTTACCTGTTCCATCAGCGAGAATCACCTCATACATAGCTATGTATGTATGGTTGACATAAAATCCTGAACTGCTCCCCACCCCCACTTGTCGGAAATCTTATGCCATCTTTGAAATGCCAGTATAATAACCTTCTTGCCTCTTCAGAGCCTATATAGGCTCTGGCCTCTTTGGAGGCAACTTTTTCCGATGCGGCTGAATATGCATATACAAGTTTCTTCCGTTGTTGGTCTTCTTATTACTTGTATCTTCATTATCATTTATCAAACCAAGTTCTACATCTATAACTAGGGTAGGTTTTCTCCCGAACATCAGTTCGAAAGGCGAGTAGTTGGTCGTTGAATGTTTGTTGCATGAACCAATAGTCCAATGTAAGTAACGGAAGGGGTATGCCTGTGCAAAAGGAGTGAAAAGATCGATCACAACAAAAACATTGCTGTATCCGCCTAGAGACACTCTTCAATAAAGAAGAGTCCATGCACACTAACTTGGACGTACTAGCCCTCAAGGAGGAGGATGTTACTAAATTCCTTGTTTGTGGAACCCATTTAGGGGCTACTAATTGTAATCATCAAATGAAACAATATGTTTTCAAAAAAAACCTGATGGTATTCATATCATCAACTTATGAAAAACTTGGGAAAAACTTTTACTTGCTGCCAGAATTATCGCCGCTGTAGAAAATCCAGCTGTCCTCTCTGCTAGACCTTGTGGTCAGAGAGCTATCTTGAAATTTGCTACCTATATTGGTGCTACCTCAATTGCTGGCCGTTTTGTTCCTGGTACATTCACTAACCAGATTCAGGCTGCCTACAGAGAACCAAGATTGATTGTAGCTACTGACCCAAGAACTGATCATCAGCCCATTACTGAAGCTTCTTACATTAATGCTCCTATTATATCATAGATTCACAGATCAGATGAATACCGATGAACATCATTTTGTTTACCCTTTAGGCTGAGTGCACATAGAAGTATTCGATATACGTTACTCGCTATACGGACACGGCGAATCACATAGGGCAGCACGTGCGACCTACTCGGTTCTTTCTCTCCGTGACGATCTAATGGACACGTCAGGCGAAGAAGATTTGGCTCTTATCCTACTAGCCGTGGCTGTATACACTACTTGAAAATCGAACAGGCACGATTCTCACTATACTACACTACTTCAACTCTTACGCTCATCACTATTTATTGGCCGGGGCCACTTTTCAACTTTCTCAGTTTTAGATTTTGGTTTGTGGCTTTGTCGAATAATACCTCCATCAATTAAATTCTGAAGATGTTGTTTCACCTTATACAAACCTGAAATTCGGTGATGAGGTTGCTATTGTTATTGAGTCTGTCAATTTCATCTCATGGCTTACGAAATCAATGCATGTATTTTCGTTCTCATGCTGTGAAAATACAAAGGACCAGTTCTGAATAAAGTCTTCCATCTTCTGTAGTTGGTTTGGTTCCAGTGCGGTGTTGCTAAAATCGATCACATCCATGAAGTTTTTTTTTTATCGTCGACTGGCAATCAGATGTTGGCGTTAGATTAATACTGATGGACTTTCTGTATGACAATAACTTTGGCAATTACGCCAATCAGTTGAAAACTACAGACCAGTTAGTCTGACATTTTTCAAGCAAAGTACTGGAATCACTTGTTCGAAAGGACTATCATAGCTAACTCATACTTGAAGAAGAATGATATTCTCTCAGGGCATCAATACATTCCTGAAAATGAAACTACGAAATTCCGTCAAGCTAGGGAAGCTGATTGGATTGAGACGCTAAATACAGCGAGACCGATAGAATTGAATATTCATCATAAAAACCACTAGTAATCGCACAAGTAAGATCATCGTGTCCAAACCTTCCTCATTGGTCTATTAATCGTTTTTGAATTGACTAATTGAATGACAGCATATTCATCGACAACTCTTTATGATATTTCGCTTTTGTTTGTATAACTTGATCAGGTAACCTCTGGTAGAAGAGTTTTTTGTTACTTGAAATAATGATTGGTAAGTTATCCAGTTGGTGTAAAATTTTATGAATTCAAAAGTTGGTAATTCAAGAATTCTATAGACTTGACTCATATATGTTTCATTTTTGAAGCCTGAATGAGTTTTGTTGCTATCATTTGTATATTTTCGATTCTTTGGATAATATGTTTCTTTAAGAAGGGGTACCAAACCCATATGTCATGATCTCACCTTTAACTAACAACATGTCTTTGTCCAGATATTCGAAAGTTTGATTATTGCAAGAGTTTTGTTATGTATATTGAATTTTAAATCTGATTGGAAGGTAAAATCTGTGTAACACCTTGGACTTACTTGCGTATGATTTCAGGATCCATTGTTTGCACTATTCCCCAAGAGTCTAAATCACGTTTTCCACTATGTTGTTTAGTTTGGTGTGATCCGCAAATTTATTGACGTTATTGATTGGTCTTATCTTGAAGTGTTTATAAAGATAAGAAACAATATTGGACCCAATACAATACCTCGGGGTACTCCATAGACAACTTCTTAGTAATCAGATTTAGTGTTCCCCATACTTCACACATTGTTTCCTTTCATGTAGAAAGTCCATAATCGATCCAAAAGCGTTTTCTTGTATACCTATGTCTTTTCAACAAGGCTTTGGTGTGGAACAATATCAAACGCTTTGCTAAAATCCAAATGAATCGGGTCTACTACTAATGCTTTCAACCATTGCTCTAAAACTACCAGTAGTTATAATGCACATGATATCCCAGCTCGGAATCCCTATTCAAGTAATTCCAGTACTTTGCTTGAAAAATGTCAGACTAACTGGTCTGCAGTTTTCAACTGATTGGTGTAATTACCAAAGTCATTGTCAAAATCGTTTCTGAATTTACCGCAAGACTGCAATTTTTCCCCCAGAAAAGGTAAATCTTTCATAAAGGAATAGTGTCAATTCCACTAGAACTAGGTGCCAAACTAATCCTGGTCGCAAAAATAGGCATCATCATGAAAATTAATATTGACAGAATTGACCATGTCTCGACTGAATTGGCCACAAAAGGGCACAACGACCGGTAGCTTACCATTGAAGTTCAATAAAAATAATAAAACTAGAGCCACTCGTGGCACAGAGTGGGACTTTGCAAATGTAGCAAATTGCAAAAGACCCCGAAAAAATCATCCTTCCACGATAATTATATCAAGCGCAAGAACAGTCTAAAGTTGAGAAATTTTCATTTTTTAGAAGATTCTAATACCGGAAGTAGACGTCAGACCTCACAAATGAAAGTATCAGCAGATAGCCAAGGTCAATGACCTTTGATCTTGTAAAAGAGAAAGTCTAAAAAGGTCAAGATCAAGAGATATACGTCATCAAAATTTCTAATTGCACACGACTATAAAACCGGAAGTTGACATAGGACAGCAAATATAAAAGTACAAATGGATAGCCAATGCCAATGACGTTTGTGCCTACAAAAGGTCAAGGTCAACAAAGGTCAAGGTCAAAAATTGAAAATTTTCAATTTCCAAAACCTGTTCCCTTTTTTGAACTAAGAAGCGGAAACAACCGAAATTCTAAGACAAAGTGGCTCACAATATAAGGTAATTGTATGCAAAGTTCCATTTTGAACAAATGTATACTTTGCGAGTTATGCCCCTGGCCAAAAATGTCAATAATGAGTAATTAAACCCGGAAGTGCCACGCCCAACTCAATTTTTTTTGAATAAGTTAATCAATATTCAAAATGTTACGTTATGTTCCAAATGTCAAGTTCCTACATAATAGAGGTCAAAAGATATAGGTCAACAAAAGTCAACAAAGGTCAAAATCGAAAAATGAAAATATCCAAATGTTAAAACCCGTTCCTTTTTTGAAACTATAAAGCTGAAACAACTGAGCTGTTAATAAATACTGGCCAAAATGATGAGGTAATTGTGTGCAAAGTCTCTTTTTGAACAAACGCATCCTATGCGAGTTATGCCCCAGCCCCAAAATGTAAACAATTAGTAATTCAACCCGGATGTGCCACGCCCACCCCAATTTTTTTGTCATAGGTGAATTCATATTTAAAGTGTCTAGTTATATTCCAAATATCAAGGTTCTACATCAAATAGATCATAACATATACATACACTAAGCTCAAAAAGTCGCAAATATTGTAAAAAAAAAACAACTCAAATTTGAAAAAATCACGAATTTCAATTTTGCTTTAAAAAAACGATTGTTATATATCTATGTAAAGTACACGAGAAGCACATTAGGAAACCGAAAAAATTTACTCTCTAGGTTAATTAGGTCACTTGTTAGAGCAGTCCAAAGTTGCGAATTTGGCTTTTTACGGATAGCTATAAAACCGGAAGTACATGTCTGGGGTCAAAGGTCAAAGTATCAAATGATAGCCAATATCAATGACCTTTGACTCTAAAAGGTCAAGGTCATCAAAGGTCAAGGTCACGAGATACAAGCCTTCAAAAATTGAAAAAAATTCGACTGGAAGTTGCAAAAAAGCAAAAAGTCAAATTCAAAAATCCATTTCCAACATTGCCATCGACTAAAGTATACACCAACATAAAAATTTGACCAATCCCATTCTCCCCCGAAGCCCCATTTTGAGTTTTATGAAAAAGTATCAAATCAAGATGGCGGCCGAAGTATTTTTTTCGGACTAAATTTTATTTTAAAATCGGCCATAGAATTAAGATTAATAACTATACACATAATTTCGTTGAAATATTTCAATCACACTGGGAGTTATTCAACCGGAAGTGAAAATCGATTTTCCACTTTAACCGGAAGTGACCCAAAAATTTTGAATACGTCAAATGGTTTACATTAGTGACATGCATCTTTTATCAAAATTTCAGATTAATCCGAAAAAAAATGAAAAATGGTCCAAAAATTTCGAAAATCGGCCAAAAAATGTCTGCGACAAATTTTCGAATTTTGAAATTTTGAAACTGCTATTCTTTCAGATTTTAACAGTAGATTCCAAAAATGCAAACCCAAAGAAAATCGACCGAAAAATACGACTTCTAGAGCTGATTATCTATTCTTGCACATATTGAACTGTGGCACTTCCGGTTTTGCAAAAAAGATCCAAAATATATTTATGCACATCGTCGCCTATATCTAAGGTTCGTGAATGTTGAATGGTTGCTGCAACTATTGTAGTCTAAGCTCAGGAAGGTGTGTAAAAATCGAAAAAAAAAAAAAAAAAAAAAAAAAAAAAAAAAGAATTGACATTTCGATAACAAAATATGATAATAATAGTTCACTTATATGGCGCAAATTACTTTTCAGTTCCTATTGCCCCTTCAATCAATATATTTCTGTGAATGAAATAGTACCCAAGAATCATTAAACAAGAAAGTTTTTAGGTTTCTCTTGAAGATGTCGATAGATTTTGAAATCGCAGTTCTGATGATAAATTGTTCCATAAATCGGGTGCAGAGTAAGAGAAAGCTCGTTTGGTCATTTCGAGGTTAACTGATGGCACACTTAATAAACATTGACTCGAAGATCTTAATGTTCTTGTTGGATTTTAAAATTCAATCAGTTGTTGAATGTATGTTGGAGATTTTTTGTTTATGGCTTTGTAGGTTTATAAAAGTATTTTAAATTCAATTCCTATTTTAACTGGTAACCAATGGAGAGAATTCAAGATTGGGGAGATATATTCAAATTTCCTGGTGTTGGTTAAAAATCGAACCGCTGAATTTTGGATATGTTGTAATTAATCTATTTGGTATTCTGGAAGTCAGTGAAAGAGGGCATTGTGATAGTCCAATTTAGTTGTGATGAAGGCATGGATTAGATTTTCTTTGACGTTGAAGTAAGAAGTAAGTAATTTCCAAATCTTTGATATTTGTTTTAGATTTTCGGGAGTTAGGAGGCCTATAAATTATGACAATACGGACAGTT